TCGCTGGAGTAGGCAATTATGTAACTGATTTCAGGATCAAAACTCCAAATTACAAAAAATGACTCAACAAATAACTCGATTAATATTGTACGTAGTGATCATCGCCCCCTGCAGGCAGATTAATGTCCCAACACTCTTGCAAAGGAGATGCGACTATCCTCTGCGTTCTCTCACCAGGTTAAGACAAATAAACCTGATCTTTACTCTTAGGTTCTTTCGGTAAAGTCACGTGGGTATAAAATAAAAACCTGATCTTACAAAATAACTGAGTTGGCAAGACTGGTGGTCAACCGCACCGTCGCGACATTCCGACATGTAGAGCCAATCACTGCACAGAATGTAATGTGATGACAATTTTCACCTGCCTTGTCCCTACAAAAATAATAACGGGTTAATGGAATACATTCGATCAGCGGTTCTCAACCGGTGGTCCGCGGACCCCTGGTGGTCGGTGATGCTACTGCAGGGGGTTCGCGGAAAATAAAGACAGCAGCATCCTCGCCGAAGACATTTCAAATAGCTCGTGGCATGCGGTGGTCCGCGAAATGCTTGGAGGTTGAAAAGGGGTCCGCACACTGGAAAATGTTGAGAAACGCTGCATTCAGTTAAACATTTTATCAATGTCATTTATATTAAAGTGTACAAATTCGCGTCTACTAATTGTCCTCAAGTTACTAATTAAAAAATGTTGCCTGCCGATGTAATTATGCAATTTGTCAACCATGGGATGTAATAGTAGAGTAGAATAGGCATTACAGTATACCCGTGGTTGCCATCTGTGCCATTATTTGTCTTTGTACATCTGTGCTGGATTGCACTGCTGCCCTGAAACCTGTTTGGCCCAGGTGACGCTTGTAATGGAGACTTGGTGTGTCAGCGGAGTCTTGCCTGGCCAAGTGAAGTTGATGAGGATAATGATAATTAATCAAACTTTCAATATATCAATTGGATTGTTTTGTAATTTTATAGCGACAGAATTACTTGGTTGATACTGCTAACAAGTCGCTTTCCCTTCTGCTGTCGTTTAAAAAGCCATTTCTACCGTACAATAATTTTCAAATGTTTGCAAGACAAGTTATTGACCTTGCTACTCCTGCTTGTCGTTAGTGGCAGGAGCGGCACCACACTGACTGCTGGGAAACCTCCTGCTGGGTAGAGTCGCGTTTGACCGTCACGCAGGAGAGTAAAGTTGAAACGTCATTCTGGACGTTAATTTGTTTGCATGCAAAATGTTCGTGCATAGCAAATGTATATATTTTTATACTAATACCCGCAGTCTCGTGTATGCATTAACCACACCATAATGATGAAATATTCTTCAAGGTTTTTGCTATGCAAGTAGAATAGTGACTGCCTGTTGTGTGTAAGATAAGGCTGCATGGGATATATGTGTGGCACCATGGGGAAACACAAGGGAAGGGAAGTAATTACCCCGCCCATTCCTGTTCGTGATATTTTTTGTTTATTAAAGTTGACATTACATCTTGATTTAAAGATTTCGTGACTGCAGGGATTCATATTCTTGGTTCTTTCGGTAAAGTCATGTAGAAGGGAAACAATAAGATAATAAAAATATAAAACAATACAATTCTCACGACGTTTCGACTGCAACACAAGCAATCGTCAGGTGTGAAAACCACAGCAAGAAAATTTTCTTGCTGTGGTTTTCACACGCAAGAAAATTGCTTGTTTTGCAGTCGAAACTTCGTGAGAATTGTATTGCTTTATATTTTTATTATTTTATTGTTTCCCTTCTACGTATCTTTACCGAAAGAACCAAGAATATGAAGTTGACATTGTGAAATGACCACTGTACACGCATGTACCAAGCATGACAACGTGAAGCAGAGATGGCTGCGATGAAAGTGTTCAACTTTGATTTTGGGAGAAACCATCGAACGGGCCATGCCACATCATTACAGAAGTGTAACATTATGGTCTAAAAGTAAACATTCACCTGTCAATGTGATATGGCACATGTGCCTTTATCGTAACACGTGGGATTGAATTTTACACCACGTGACGCCATTTGACAATATTGAGTAATTAACACATCATGGTCAGTATCCACGAGTAATGATCTTGTTTTTGAAGTGAGAAATCCCACCCCAGTGTCCCACAACTGGCTCTGTGGTGGCTGCTGCTATTGAAATGGATCCAACGAGGAGCAACATCACCTGAGCCTTGGGTCAAACAGCAGCAAACAGCGTCCAGAGACGGGCTCTGACCTCATGACCAAGGAGGCAAATGCTGCATGGGTTGAGACGTCCATTGTTGAGACTCTTCGACTTGTATGAATGAGCGATACACTTTTTCCAAATGCTGTGCAGTTACTTTTCTGGAGCCGAGTATTTCCATATAACATTGTTTTAGTTCGGTGGTGTTATTTACTTGATTTAAATTAATAATTTTGAGTGTCAACATTCCAGTTTTAAGATGGTTTTGTGCATATTTAACATGCAAAATATAGGAATAATCTGTTATGGTTCGTAATCTTTCAGTTGTGTTCAAAAGCAGAAGTAACATAAAGTGTCCTGTGCTCTTCACACGGAATGCGATATAATGAGAAATCCTTCAGGCTTGAGCTTCAAATATCAAGACGTGAAAACAAAACGCGTGGCTATTTAAATGATCATTAGTAATTTCCAGCTGTGATTAGTGTCTCTCTGAATCGGAGTTTGCCACTATAAATTCAACAGGTGTAACAGAGACTTATTGTGTGAATGGGGTTTTACCTTGCAAAACAAGGACGGGTATTGTATTTTATACGAACGAAATCTATATTTTTATTCGGTTATATTGTTCAACTTGATGTTGTAAAACAAGTTGTAATTCTGCTTTGGTGTACTTAAAAAAGCCCAAATGACAAGCAATGGAACTTGTTCCATATTCCTGCAGTTCTCTTTACCAGCGAACCATCACGTCATCCCTGTTCTGACTCAGATGGAGGACACGCACAGTAGTCGCAACAGTGACCATGGTAGCTGGGAGAAGGGCCGGTTTTAGATGTCTTTACCCCCGGAACACCGGATCAGAGAAGACCTCCCTCCCCTTCTGACATTAAAACAACGTGAGACATAACACTTAATGAAGCTCGTATTGGTCATGTTATTCTTGTTTAAACAATTATACAGAATTAATAAAGTCATATTTCTGAATACAGATTTTGTTTGTTATATTTATTTGGCCTCTGTCGTTTTGGAGGCTGGACAAGTGTGCCATTTCGCTGCACGCTGATGGGGCCCTGCAGCACTCCTCAGCCTTGGGCCAAATCTGTAAGTATCCACAAGTAATAATCTTGTTTTTGAAGTGAGAAATCCCACCCCAGTGTCCCACGGCTGGCTCTGTGGTGGCTGCTGCTATTGGAATGGATCCAACGAGGAGCAGCATCACCTGAGCCTTGGGTCAAACAGCAGCGAGCCGCGTCCAGGCAGGGCCTCCGACTTCATGGCCAGGGAGCCGCAGGGCGCATGGACGCACACCACCAGACTTGACGTGCACGGACGCGAATTTAACATGCATGTTCCAAATGGTGTCAGGTGACTCTTTTATACCTAAGCACGTTCATGGTCATTAATGTTAGTTATGAATTCGTATTTTTATTTAGGTCAATAAATGTATTTTTGAGCACGATAACAGTTGTAACATTTCTTTTGTATTCGGCGCTGAAACAGTAAACGGAAGCGTGACGATGAAGTCGTGCTATAGAGAGAGGCTGGGGTTTGGTTTGGGAGCTGTGGTTGGAAGTGAAACCTCAGCGAGCTGTGGGTGGGATGTCGCCACACTTCAACTGAAGGCGGCAGCAGGAGCGACATAAAACGTGGTGCGTGCTGAGAACTGAGCAGACGGCGCCGTGGCTCTGAGCCATGGACACGGAGACGAGGAGACGTGCGGTGTGGATGAGTGTTGTCATCTGCATCTTGTCCCGCATCAGTGAGTTATTGTTCGCGTGCTGTTATACACCACACTGTGTATACGTACAGTATGTACGTTCAACTTGTTGCTCACCGTACATTTTAAAACCGTACCGTAGTGTTCAACACTTTATAATTTTGCCGTTTTGTCGTTTCACTTTTGAAGCGAGTGTTCATTTACAGGCATCCCCCAGAGAGTATTTTGTTGCTGTGGGACAGGAAGTCACCTTGACGTGTGACAGAAACACTCCAGGATGGTCACAGTACGACAATCCCAATATCAGCTCTATCACCTGGCGGCGTGGTGAAGGCAGTGGAGCACCCGATATGGATTTAACAAACTCACGAGATTTCAGGATAACAGTCATTAAGGATGTTGATCAACATCGAGTTTCTATCCGAATCGCAAATGTGCAGCACAGTGACGCTGGGGTTTACCGTTGCCTGGTTAAAAGCGAAGTTGGAACAGAGAGTCCCATGATGGAAATTATCACAATGGAAGGTAAGGAAATGTGTTACACTATATTGCACAAGCACCCTTCCTGTATGTATGATTATTTGTCGTACATTTTTAATGGTGATATTATTTCATCACATTGTACCCGTGAAGAACAAGTTGTGGTGTAAACGCTGCAAAGAGTTTACACGAGGGTGATGCGTGGCGCTGGTACTGCACGTGAGGAGCCATTCCACTGCAATGCCACCGGCAGATTGTCCTCGCTGCCTCACGTCCTCTGCCTCACCGTTGCACTGCGACTCGTGGAGGTGACACGGCACAGACTTCCTATCGCTCCCACAGTGGCATTGCACCCAGAGTCCTGTGCGGTGCTCTCCTAGCGAAGCCGCGCGTTTACTTGCAGGAGTGTCAGTGTCACAGGTGACGTTGGTACTGATGCAGGCCCCTCACACCGACCACTGTCACACAGCCCGTCAGGTCTCTGTGGTGATCGGGGACCGGTTAGGAGTCGCCCAGACTCGCTGAGTGTCGCTGCTGTGGTCTCGCCCACAAGAGGAGTAGTGGAGGAGTCTGGAGCACGGAGTCACTGCTGATGTCTGAGTTTGTTTTACTGCTTTTGCTTTCTGTAGTTTCAGCAAACCCATCCAGCGTCGTGAGTGAAGGAGAGACTGTCACATTGACGTGTCACATCTCAAACAGTGCCTATGTACAAAGTATTGTTTGGACTCACGGTGGCACTGAGATGAACCCACGCAATTCTGTGCTGACATTACACAAAATCAAACGATGTCAAGAGGGAGCATGGACATGTGGTGTCAAAACCCAAACTGACCAAGCCTCTGCTTCTCACGATTTGACAGTCTCATCACAGAGTAAGTGAATTCAGAAATGAAGCCCTCGGTGAATTTTATTTCACACCGTGATTTTTTTTTAAATGTATGCTTAGTTTGTATTACCAATGCAATCAGTATATTATAAATGTGTTGAATATGACGTATGTGATGCATCCCTTGTGGAGTTGTAATAAATAAACGTATTAAAATTGTGAAATATTTTTTGTTATTTCAATGTTTGAAGTGTAATAATTGATCTCTTTTGTTATATTTTTGTAGATGTTTGTGATGTAAAGGCACCTGCTCCCAGAAAGTATTTTGTTTCTGTGGGCCAGTCGGTCATTTTGCAATGTGTTGAAGATGATCCAGAATTTAAATGGAAAGATCACCCTTCCTCTGACCTGGCTCTGACCTGGCGATGGGAGAGGCAGGGTAGTGGTAGCGAAACGATTGTCCAGTATCCTAAGCAAACTGGTCAACGGTATGGAGATGTATGGAAAAATACCGCTATACCACTGGTTTCCAGAATAACGGCATTGAAGTCTTATTTTGACAAAGACAACTTCTCTATTCAAATCTCAAAAGTGCAATACAGTGATGCTGGGCTCTACATTTGCCACTTTACTGGCTACTTTAGAACAAGCAGCTTAACAAGAGAACTGATCACAATGCAAGGTAAATTATATTTTACTTTTTGCACAAGCATATGCACTTCAATATAAAAGTGGAATACATTTAATTATTTATTGTGTAAGATTATTTTTTATTAATAGTCTGTGAAGGTAAACTGCTACCAATCATATTAAAGTATTCATGTTGATGGCTGTAATGAGTTTGCTCAATCATAAAACATACTGCTGCTATTGCACATTATGAATTCTTCCAACGTGATAGCACCGCACGTCCGAGGAATCTCACGAGACTGACGATTGCCCCACGATCCATGGAAATGGCAACCCAGGCTTCCCATCACACTGCATTGGCGTCACATCCACAGCCATCGCCCATGACATTCTGCCTGTGGTGTACTGCAGCCACATGTTTGCCGACACATCTCTGAACAGGAGAGTCTGCTGCTGATGCCGACCCATCGTACTCACATGGACAGAGCTCTGTGGTGATGGGGGACCGGTTAGGAGTCGCCCAGACTCGCTGAGTGTCTCTGCTGTGGTCTCGCCCACAAGAGGAGTAGTGGAGTAGTCTGGAGCACGGAGTCACTGCTGATGTCTGAGTTTGTTTGACTGCTTTTGCTTTCTTTAGTTTCAGCAAACCCATCCCGCTCTGTGACAGAAGGGGAGACTGTCACATTGACCTGTCTCATATCAAACAGTGGCTATGGAACAGGTCTGGTTTGGTATCATGGTCAAATTTACATTTCACAAGGCAATCAGCTGACACTGAACAAAGTAAAACGATCTCAACAGGGAGAATGGAAATGTTTTCTATATCACCAGCACAACAGTCCCTTTGCCTCGTACACACTGGAGCTAACATCAACTGGTAAGTCTCCTGTTAAATGTATTTAAATGTAATGTTGTTACCTGACGTGTCGAGTTATTACATTGAATTTTAATCTGTCAAATGTAACCGTTACATATTTTCATGCAGTAAATGTTTTGATAATTACTGTGCATTGGTTAATTCACTGCTGTTTCTTTTATAGGAAGTGATGTTTGGCAGGCACCGGCAGTGAAGAAATATTTCATACAAGACGGTGGGAAGGTCTCTTTGTCATGTGATGAAGCTGATCCTGGATTTCAGTGGAAAGATCATTCACAGCAGACACGCGCTGTCACTTGGAAATGGAGATCGCATGATGGCACAACACAGCGATATGATCAGAACATACAATATCCATCGCAACCGTCTGATTATAGAGATCAGTTTCCTTTAACATTGTCGCAAGTTACGTTTTCACGTGGTGGGGTTTACACATGTGAGTTTACTGGCTACTATAGGACAGGCACCCTCACAATGGAACTGGTCACAATGAAAGGTAATGTGCTTTTGGTTTATATATCATTAAAACACTTTCACACAATAGTGTAACTTCTAGATTAAAATAAATTACACCTGCACATAACACACCATGGTATTCATATAATAACTTTCAGTAATGCTCAGGTAAAAGCTGTTGCATGTTTAATGAGTACGTTTAAATCGGTATCACAGGTAGCCCTTCTGCTGCATGTATGTTGAACTTCTTTCGCACCATACGTAGCCAACCGTGCTAATCGGAGGTGCTGCACATTGGGTCCTGCACTGGTGGAGATGTCTGACATTGGATGAGCCCCTCCTGACTCTCCCTGTCACTCCGTGCCCTCTGGTGACGTCACACGACATGTGGTGCCACATCAGTGGCACGGTGCCCGTGCGATGTCACCCTTGTTCCAGTAGGGCCACGCGATTTCTTGCCGAACTGTTCAGGGAAGGGACAATTGTTGTTTCTGGACCTCGTCTGACACTGACTCCTGTCACGTGTGATACTGTTTTAGTGAAACTGCGTGTTTACTTGCAGAACTGTGAGTGCTGCGTAGGCTCCTCACACCGCCCCCTGTCACACAGCCCGTCAGGTCTCTGTGGTGACCGAGGGCCGTTTAGGAGTCGCCCAGACTCGCTGAATGTCTCTGTTGTGGTCTCGTCCACAAGAGCAGTAGTGGAGGAGTCTGGAGCACGGAGGCACTGCTGATGTCTGAGTTTGTTTTACTGCTTTTGCTTTCTGTAGTTTCAGCCAACCCATCCCGCTCTCTGACAGAAGGAGAGACTGTCACATTGACCTGTCTCATATCAAACAGTGGCTATGGAACAGTTCTAGTTTGGTATCATGGTGACATTTACATTGACCAAGGCAATTCTGTGCTGATACTGAACAAAGTAAAACGATCTCAACAGAGACAATGGAAATGTGCTATACATGACCAGCAAAACAGTCCCTTTGCCTCGTACAAATTGCAGTTTAGACCAACTGGTAAGTCTACTGTTATATATATATTTAATTGTACTGTTATTACCTTTTGTGTTTTATTATTATGAATTCATAACATTTTAATGTCAAATGTAACAAATACATATTTTCATGCAGTAAATGTTTTGATAATTACTGTGCATTGGTTAATTCACTGCTGTTTCTTTTATAGGAAGTCATGTTGAGAAGGCACCCGCAGTGCAGAAATATTTCATACACGAGGGTGGGGAGGTCTCTTTGTCATGTGATGAATCTGATCCTGGATTTCAGTGGAAAGATCATTCACAGCGGACACGCGCTGTCACTTGGAAATGGAGATCGAATGATGGCACAACAAAGCGATATGATCAGAACATACAATATCCATCGCAACCGTCTGATTATAGAGATCAGTTTCCTTTAGCATTGTCGAAAGTTACGTTTTCACGTGGTGGGGTTTACACATGTGAGTTTACTGGCTACTATAGGACAGGCACCCTCACAATGGAACTGGTCACAATGAAAGGTACGGTAATATTGAGTCATATAAACTAAATATATTCATAAAAATTGTTACTAATTTCTGTTACAAAAATGTATTAACACGTTTCAGCATGCTATGAAAATGAAATGTCGGACGATATTGTTCATGATTGTGACGTAAATGCCGTAGTGAGTTTATGTTCACGTGAACGATTGTTACTCCTGCTGCACATACAAGCTGTCATTGCTGTAGCATTCAATATTGGATGCGCATCATCTGATTCTCATTGCCCATCATGCCATCGCCCTTGCAGATGAGAGCCTAAGTGTTCCGTCATGTAAACGGTCGTGTCACAGCCACATTCACGGGAATATTCCCGTGTTTTTTACTTGCGGAACTGATATATTTTACAGTTATTGCTTTCCCCAATAAAAATGCAGTTGCACTGGTATTAGATTAACATGTTTTATTACAGTGATGTAGTCCAAATTATTGAAGAGACATCATACAATAGATATGTATAGTGTACTTACGTATATTTACACAATATTTCATGCTAATTAAAACAGGTCTAGTTTTTTTCAAGTTGCGATATGGAGAGTTCACGTGAGAATGACGAGTAGCGCTGCTGCTGTTGGCCATTCAGACTCCTGCTGTGAGTTCACGTTCACAATCAGGTTTTAGGTCGAGGGATTTGGGATTAGGCAATTCCTGGGCCAGTGCTTCTCGTGATCAGTGGACACGTGGTCTCCTCTCCACCCCTTCACCATCCCTCCCCTGGAGTCTCTGTGCTCTGCTGCTGTAATCACGATTAGAGGAGCAGTGCAGGAGGGATTCCATGATCTCAACTGCGTTGTGAGGCCTCCAGGCTCATATCTCCTGGAATCTCAGCACAGATGTGGATTCCACGTGACCAGGGATAGGCCATACCTCAAAATTCAGAATGTGTTGTGCTATAGTTCGGACTGCTGAGTCAATGAGCCGTGAATATGTATTCTTGTTTCGTGTTCTTTAGTTTCATCCAACACATCCGATACCGTGGCAGAAGGAGAGAGCATCAGTCTGACCTGCCAGCTCTCTAACGACTCCTATGCACACATGGTCAGATGGATTCACAATGGGATTGAGATCAGCCATCAAAGCAGCCTCGTTTTGGTGAAAGTGAAGGCTGCTCAGAGTGGGTTGTGGAAGTGTTCCCTGAAAAGGGAGAGTGGAGAGATCTCAGAGGTAGCGTACAATTTGAACGTGCGGAAAATTGGTAAGTACACATCTCACCAAACTTCAGTGCCATCATAAAAAAAACACTGCAATAACATACTGAAAATAAATACTCTGATCAAGTGTGTTAAGTTTCATCCTATATATACTGCAGTTATTGCAATCGTTCTAAATTGAAAATGAAATTAATACACATGAAAGAAGACTCTTGCCCTTATCTTTATCCACAAGGTAAGGTATTTATTTCACGACACGGGTCCATACCTTCCATCTCGCTCTCTCTCCTACAATGCCCCGAACTCCGACTCCAACTCCCTCTTTTAACCTCTTCCTGGTTCCGCACCTCGTCGCACTCCGTCTCCACCAATCATCACCTCTCTTACCCCCACCTGGCCTAACCATCCCACCTGACGCTCACCCAACCCTCCAGTTCTTTTCCCTTTTGAACGTTCCGGACAATCCCCTTGCTCCCCTGTGCCCTTATCAATCAGAGCGTGGAGTGTTTACTCCAGACTTCTAGATTCCTCCGTCCCAGGGATCGTGTGGGACAATCACTACACACATCGGACATACAGTTAAATTGACTAAAGTAATTTGTAAACTTAACACAATTTCCATGCTTATACCTTCAGGTGCAAGGTGTGTAGCTGTATTGTGGCATCCTGTGTGTTTGGTAATGAAACCATTGTTTTAACACGATCTGCAGGTGCAGAGCAAAACGCACCTAGGAATTACGCGGCTAAAATTGGTGAAGGAACCACGTTGCCCTGCACCGAGTCTGACCCTGGGTTTGTGTGGAGGAGCTCCTCCAATGAGTCTCGTTCGGTCACCTGGTACTGGAGGCCACGTGGTGACAGCACAGTCCGTACGATACTCGAGGCCCACCCAGCCGGACCTCACGCTGCATTCAGTTCCCACCTCAACTCCCACGTGAACATCTCGTCCTCCGCTTTTGACAACGACGACTTCTCTCTGACCATCTCAGTGGTGAATGAAAGTTCTGCTGGTGTCTACACTTGTCAGCTGACAGGATATTATCGGTCAGGGAGTCTGATGTCGGAAATGTTTACAACACAAGGTACAATACTTTCCTTTTTTAACCTAAAACACAATACTTGGCATTATGTTGTACGTTCTAAATTATGTCTTCCAATGTTTAAAAGATAATCTCTTGCTTTCAATGTTAACTTGCAGATCAGGAAAGTGAATTTAAACCTACAGCTCTTGTGATGTCATACTACGCAGCTGTGAAACACATTTGAGTAAATGTCACCACACTGCTTTTAAAAATGTCCAAACAAACTGCATTTGTTTACTAAAAATTTTCACCATCTCATCGGTTCTTGCAGTTTTCATATTTTGTATTTCGCACCAGTGCCAGGGGCATCTCCGTACGTGTCGGTTGCTGTTGGTGTGGTGCTGGCTGTGCTTCTCTCTGCTGGAGCTGCTGTTGTTGCAGTGGTGGGCTATAGAAGAAGGAAGCTCAATGCAGGTCATTGGCACCACCCACCACTCTACAACCAAATAGCATTCCTCACACTGAACCCCAATCACCCAACACATTTTGTGTAGCTCCCTTAAGGGTCACTACAACCGCATGTCATTTAATTCATGGAGGAGGGGGTTACCCTCTGGCTGGGATCGCTGTTGATGTCGGCATTGCTGCTGTGTCTCTATGTGTGGCCGTCAGCCTTGTGTGCTACACACAGCAACACTCGTGCAGGTGTGAGACCATCCACACGCCACTGCCAGCCATGCCTCCTCCTAGCAGGGGAAACAGCTCTCGTTTATTATGACCCAGCCGAGAGCCTCTTGAGAAGATGCCATTGAGACGCGTGTACACTGTCTAGGTGTAAATGTTGGTAAACTTTTAAGAGTCCTGGGCAATGGAAGAAAACGGAATATTAAAAATGCGTGCCAGAATAAAATGAAACGTTTGGTATTCAAAATAAATTCAGTAGCGTGTGCTGTCCACCACAGTTTTAATAGCACGTGGTCTGTGTGTTCAAAGAGGTAAACCACACCTTTTGTTTCGACAAGTATATTTATTTTTTGTGGAAATAACACTCGTTCAGTTTGGCTAGCGAGACAAAATGTTCACCCTTGGTTTAAATTCGATTCAATTAAAGACACTATTTCATATTCTTAGCAGAGTCTCAGGCAGAGCAAGAAAGTGCTTATCAAGCATTGAACTTGCAATCGATGATGATGGTTGGTAAGTTTCGGCATTTATGCGGCACTCTTTTTCACCCATATGCAACACACAATTACTTCACAGTGGCCAGACATCCCTTCGTCTTGAGACTCTGGTTTCCCAGGATACATAAATGGCGTAACAACTTCAATATCCTTTGATCTATACGCTTTGTACCATTAAAGGTTCACAGTTGTGTTTAAACGTCAGATTTAATGAAATCATACACATGTAATTTGAAGATTTCCTAATAACTACATTGAATGGACAGTTCATGAAGTTGACAGTGAAGCACAGGCAACGTAGTGCAGGCAACAGAGCCAAAACATTAACACGTGTTGTGACCAAAGGCATCGCATTGATGCCTTCGCCTCGTCACGTTCGCTAATGGGTCGAGAGGAGTGGCATCGCCGTGAAGTCCACAGTGGAGATTTTGTTTCACGACAGGCCCTGATCCACAGCGAGGAAGCGACTATGAAGTGCCGGAATCGCCATCGGTGACCAACAATGGTAGCTGTCACTTGTTCACGCGTCGCTATGTCACGCACTTTGTGACGACGAGGATGTCTGCTCTCACGTAACGCTTGCGATCGTCAACTGAAGTCAGATGGCGCCTATGAATAACAATGTATAAATTGAAATGTATACATTACGACGAATTAATCACAACGTATAAATTACAAGGTGTAATTGACATTTTATAAATCACAACGTATAAATTACTACCTATAAATCACAACGTATAAATTACTACCTAGAAATCACAACGTATAAATTGCTACCTATAAATCACAACGTATAAATTACTACCTATAAATCACAACGTATAAATTACTACCTAGAAATCACAATGTATAAATTACTACCTAGAAATCACAACGTATAAATTACTACCTAAAAATCACAACGTATAAATTACTACCTAGAAATCACAACGTATAAATTACTACCTATAAATCACAACGTATAAATTACTACCTATAAATCACAACGTATAAATTACTACCTAGAAATCACAACGTATAAATTACTACCTAGAAATCACAACGTATAAATTACTACCTAGAAATCACAACGTATTAATTACTACCTAGAAATCACAACGTATAAATTACTACCTATAAATCACAACATATAAATTACTACCTATTTATCACAACGTATAAATTATTACCTATAAACTACAACGTATAAATTACTACCTATAAATCACAACGTATAAATTACTACCTATAAATCACAACGTATAAATTACTACCTAGAAATCACAACGTATAAATTACTACCTAGAAATCACAACGTATAAATTACTACCTAGAAATCACAACGTATAAATTACTACCTATAAATCACAACGTATAAATTACTACCTATAAATCACAACGTATAAATTACTACCTATAAATCACAACGTATAAATTACTACCTATAAATCACAACGTATAAATTACTACCTATAAATCACAACGTATAAATTACTACCTATAAATCACAACGTATAAATTACTACCTCTGAATCACAACGTATAAATTACTACCTATAAATCACAACGTATAAATTATTACCTATAAATCACAACGTATAAATTACTACCTAGAAATTACAACGTATAAATTACTACCTATAAATCACAACGTATAAATTACTACCTAGAAATCACAACGTATAAATTACTACCTATAAATCACAACGTATAAATTACTACCTATAAATCACAACGTATAAATTACTACCTATAAATCACAACCTATAAATTACTACCTATAAATCACAACGTATAAATTATTACCTATAAACTACAACGTATAAATTACTACCTATAAATCACAACGTATAAATTACTACCTATAAATCACAACGTATAAATTACTACCTATGAATCACAACGTATAAATTACTACCTATAAATCACAACGTATAAATTACTACCTATAAATCACAACGTATAAATTACTACCTAGAAATCACAACGTATAAATTACTACCTAGAAATCACAACGTATAAATTACTACCTAGAAATCACAACCTATAAATTACTACCTAGAAATCACAACGTATAAATTACTACCTAGAAATCACAACGTATAAATTATTACCTATAAACTACAACGTATAAATTACTACCTATAAATCACAACGTATAAATTACTACCTATAAATCACAACGTATAAATTACTACCTATGAATCACAACGTATAAATTACTACCTAGAAATCACAACGTATAAATTACTACCTATAAATCACAACGTATAAATTACTACCTATAAATCACAACGTATAAATTACTACCTAGAAATCACAACGTATAAATTACTACCTAGAAATCACAACCTATAAATTACTACCTATAAATCACAACGTATAAATTACTACCTATAAATCACAACGTATAAATTACTACCTAGAATTCACAACGTATAAATTACTACCTATAAATCACAACGTATAAATTACTACCTATAAATCACAACCTATAAATTACTACCTATAAATCACAACGTATGAATTACTACCTATAAATCACAACGTATAAATTACTACCTATAAATTACAACGTATAAATTACTACCTATAAATCACAACGTATAAATTACTACCTATAAATCACATCCTATAAATTACTACCTATGAATCACAACGTATAAATTACTACCTAGAAATAACAACGTATAAAATACTACCTATAAATCACAACGTATAAATTACTACCTATAAATCACAACGTATAAATTACTACCTATAAATCACAACGTATAAATTACTACCTAGAAATCACAACGTATAAATTACTACCTATAAATCACAACGTATAAATTACTACCTATAAATCACAACCTATAAATGACGACGTCAACAACTTGCTGTCAGATGCCCCCCGGCAGGAGCGCGAAGGCCACTACCAAGCCCTCAAGCTGCAGCGAAAGGAGGCAGAAGGTAGAGGGCGCACGAGACGACCTGCAGAGAGCGACACGTGGCCCCACGTCACCTTGGCCATCGACCACAACATTGCCAGCGCCAGGCGCTGCAATTTTGCTGAACTTATTGAGAGTCCAAGGGACACGTCAACTGATTTAATCCATCCGCTTCAATGGAGTTTATTTGCTTGTGCTGCTAATCTATTTTTTGATCGTGTTCGTTGGTATTTGTTACATTGTTGATGCTGGAATGTAAACTCTTATTCTGTCTGTCACAGACGATTATGACAATCTTAACGTACGACGCGAGGACGACACGGGCCTTGTGAGTACAGTTTATTTTTCTGGGGTAATTTTGATTGTTCTCGCAGAGTTTAAATCATACGATGCAAACAATTCAACAATTTTTGTAAGACAGTTTAAGACGTAGGCTTTCGCGACCAATATTATTCATAATAAAGGTTTTTGGGTTAGATCGCGTTTATTTATAAATGTGTCGTAACCCTCCACCACCCGACACGGCCAATCAGCAAAAAAAGTGTCACGTTGACAAAGACAAATAATTCACTACTTCAGCCCACCGGTGTGTTGAAGAGTGAATCCACATTTACAGTTTGAGTACGACGTTTCGCTGGTAAATACATCCAGCATCATCAAGCAATTCGCCAGAATGGTAAAGCCCTCGCTTGCTCCCGGTTTTATATAGAGCAGCAGGGTGACGTCATCACTTAACTCATATCAGGTGCAGTGATTAGAGGCGGAGGGGCGGGTATTGTAATTATATAATCGATTAGTAATCAGTCATTGGTTATGATTAGTAATGAGTTGTAGATTAGTAAATAATACACATTACATTTTGATTTAAAGAATTACTAATCTACAACTCATTACTAATCATAACCAATGACTGATTACTAATCGATTATATAATTACAATACCCCCCCCTCTGCCTCTAATCACTGCACCTGATATGAGTTAAGTGATGACGTCACCCTGCTGATCTATATAAAACCAGGAGCAAGCGAGGGCTTTACCATTCTGGCGAATTGCCCGATGATGCTGGATGTATTTACCAGCGAAACATCGTACTCAAACTGTAAATGTGGATTCACTCTTCAACACACTGGTGGGCTAAAGTAGTGAATTATTTGTCTTTTGTGAACGTGACACTTTTTTTGCTGATTGGCCGTGTCGGGTGGTGGAGGGTTACGACACATTTATAAATAAACACGATCTAACCCAAAAACCTTTATTATGAATTTGAAAGACAACTATAAAACACTTAAATTTTGATTTAAAGCTTTCGTGACTGCAGTAATTCATATTCTTAGTTTTTTTCGGTAAAGTCACGTTGAAGAGAAACAACAAAATAATAAAATATATATAAAACAATAAAAAATTCTCACGATGTTTCGACCATAACTCAAACGGTCGTCTTCAGGTGTGTTGGTTCGCATAAATTTATTTTTAAACGGCGCATTTATTTATTTATAAAAAACGTTAGCGCCACGCGCAACGATTTGGCAGTTTACCCAGGACTAGTCCATCTATATTCTGAAAAGAGGAGGGGGGAGACGAAATTTTTTATAATGTATGCTGTCTGAAAGCCACTGTAAGCGTGAACAATCAATTAAGACCTGAAATGGTTTATCAAATCTTTCCAATGATTGCTAAGATAGAATCCATCTTCTCGGTTGAAATTGTCTCTGTGCTTGTATATGTGGATAGCCTCATGAACGAATCTCTCATGGAAGCCAGATGGCTTACAAAGAACCTCTGTCTTGGAAAAGTCAATGGCATGTGAGCGTACTGAATTAGAACAATGATCTGCTACGGCCGAGGTGTTGGTCCTACCGTGTTTAAGGTCTGCTTTGTGTTCACGAATGCGGTCCGAGACATGGCGTTTGGTTTCTCCAATGTAACTACTACCACAGAGGCAACTTAGTTTGTAGACACCAGGGTATTGTATGTCCGGAATCACATCTTTTACAGACGGAACCAGATCACGGATTTTATGTAATGTGTTGAAACGGACCTGGATCTTGTGTTTATTCAAGATTTTGGAGATCTTTTTTGTGATCCCAGCAATGTAGGGTAAAGTGATGGTTTTGAAAGGCTCCTCAAGAGGGTTCTTCTTCATGGTTTGAGTGATAGCTTTGCGGATTGTATAGTCGGAGTAACCATTAGCCCTAAGAGCTTGGTGTACGTGCTTGAGTTCACTGCTTATGTGTTCCTGGTCGGATATCCATTGGGCTCTATGATACAGAGTCTTGATGAGAGAATTCTTCTGTGATGGATGGTGGTGGGAATCCGGTTTCAGATAAGCATCCGTATGGGTAGCTTTCCTGTAGACAGAGTGGCTCATTGAACCATCAGGTCTCTTTTTAATTAGGACATCCAAAAAAGGTATCTTGCCATCTATTTCGACTTCCATGGTAAATCTGATGACTGGGTGTATGGAATTGATGTGGTCGAAGAATTGATCTAGAGCAGGCCGGCCATGTGGCCAGATGACAAAAGTGTCATCCACGTACCTCTTCCATAAGGTTGGGCGCAGAGTGGCAGTCTGGATGGCGTCAGTCTCAAATTTCTCAATGAAAATGTTAGCTATAACTGGAGAAAGGGGGGAGCCCATTGGGGTGCCCTCAGTTTGTTTGTAGAAAGTTCGAATTCCAAGTGAAGTATGTATTGGTTAAACAGTGTCTCACCAGGGGGGGTACCTCAGTGTTTAGTCCTTGATGAACCAAGTCTTCAATGATTGCAATGGTGTCAGGTACAGGAACCTTGGTGAATAAGGAAACTACATCAAAACTGACAAGCAGGTCGTCTGGGGACAGGGAAATACCCTTGATTGTCGATACCAGGTGAGTAGAATTTTGTACCGCAGAGGTGGTCTTTCCAGTGAAAGGACGCAGGATTTCAGACAAAAAACGAGCTAGTTTGTAGGTGGGGGAGCCGATAGTAGAGACTATGGGACGAAGAGGTGTATCTACTTTATATATTTTTGGTAAGCCGTATAATCTTGGTGGCCTGGCAGCAGAAGGTTTCAACGAAAACTGTTTAGATTGATCAATTAATGCGGTTGAATCAGAAATTATTTTGTTGGTTTGTGTGACGAGGCTGTTGGTGGGATCTCTTTTTATTTTTGTATAACTACCATCGTCGAGTAATTCATCTGGCTTCCATGAGAGATTCGTTCATGAGGCTATCCACATATACAAGCACAGAGACAATTTCAACCGAGAAGATGGATTCTATCTTAGCAATCATTGGAAAGATTTGATAAACCATTTCAGGTCTTAATTGATTGTTCACGCTTACAGTGGCTTTCAGACAGCATACATTATAAAAAATTTCGTCTCCCCCCTCCTCTTTTCAGAATATAGATGGACTAGTCCTGGGTAAACTGCCAAATCGTTGCGCGTGGCGCTAACGTGTTTATTTTAATTATAAATAAATAAATGCGCCGTTTACAAATAAATGTATGCGAACCAACACACTTGAAGACGACCGTTTGAGTTATAGTCGAAACGTCGTGGGAATATTTTTATTGTTTTATATATATTTTATTATTTTGTTGTTTCTCTTCAACGTGACTTTAGCGAAAAAACTAAGAATATAAAACACTTGTCGACGAAAAAGCAACTGAGATCACAAACCGGCGTCTCGTAATGTTGTACTGTAATGCACAGCTGGGATTACGTTCCCATTGCCACGAGGGACACTATGGTATGTTTACAACTCAGTTGACTGTCATTCACTTCGCAAGGCCAAAGCAATGACAAAGTCGAACGCTGTCTCATTGTTGTGTTTGTACCGCGCGCTGTGCCTCATTGTTGCCGCTAGGGGGCCCTCGCCACTCGTGCCCGTGAGGCGCCGTCTGGGCTCCCAGCCCCAGATGTGGCCCTCGGGAACGGCGTCCGTCGCTCGCATCTCCAGGGGATCTCGGCTGCATCTTCCGGACCCAGCTTTAGTTTTCGTTGAGCACACAAGTGGTTTGTAGAGGCCACAGGGTGTTTCAAAGGCAGTGGCTTGCTCGTGGCTCTTGATGTGAAGCGGTGAGGGGGGGGGGGGACACGAAAACCACAACTGCTTAGCCCACTTACAGGTGACACGTGCAGGTGCAGCATCAGCCGCCATGGAGTCTCTGCCAAAGACAATATCTACATCAGGGCCACGTAGGAGCATCGAAAGGAATGTTTGCCACAAGGCCAGCGTGCATTTTTTAAACTTGCTGTTCTAGATGCCTTTCCACTTAAAATGGCCCTGGTTTCTTACGTAAAAATTTTCCACCCTACGAGGTTGCCTCCTTCACCTTGACACATCTGTGCTTGCTCACGTCTCCCCTGTGTCTGCGGGGCGCCGCGGTGGCGAGATGTTAACTGCCTCGCTTGGTATGCGGGAGGTCGTGGGTTCGACCCTGACGCCTGCTGTATATTTGGAGTGTGCGTGTCTCTCTCCCCGTTGTCGCGTGGAGTTCCCCTACATATTTAGAAACATGCTTTTAGAGTATGTGGCCGCTGTACAATTCTACATGATACGCCTCTTGGTTGAGCTATAATTTGTGTTCAGGTTGCCCATGAAAAAGAGCTATCTAGCACAGTGGGCCTTACCTGGTAAAATAAAAAATTGTGAATAAAAATATTTCAATTTTTTGTGTGGGCAGTGCCAGTGCAGTTCTCTCCTGTGTCCGTGTAGGTCATAGACACGGAGCACTCCGTGCAGCCACTTCGCTGGCAGCAGCTGCTGCTGCTACCCACAAGTGGGCACAGGGATGGCGTGGTCAGCAGTAATGCCAACTGCTTGAAGCGGAAAGTCGCCAAACGAACCTCACACAGCCGCTAGATGTCCTTCTAAAGTCATTGAATATGTCACTAGACCATTTGCCAAGTATTTAAGGTCGACAACTGATACAGAAATCTTCGATACATTGCTGGAATTGCTCTTAAACTTGTCGAATGCCGTCATCCCAGAAAGTCACATATCACTTTAGCAAAATATTTCACTCAGGGAAGCTCGTAGCACATTCACCGTTTTAGAGCAGTGCTTCGTGGATCGAATCCACTGGCTGCCCTGATTATAACTGTGAGTGATTCACGTTGGGCGTCAACGATTCCTTCACATTCGCTGGAGTAGGCAATTATGTAACTGATTTCAGGATCAAAACTCCAAATTACAAAAAATGACTCAACAAATAACTCGATTAATATTGTACGTAGTGATCATCGCCCCCTGCAGGCAGATTAATGTCCCAACACTCTTGCAAAGGAGATGCGACTATCCTCTGCGTTCTCTCACCAGGTTAAGACAAATAAACCTGATCTTTACTCTTAGGTTCTTTCGGTAAAGTCACGTGGGTATAAAATAAAAACCTGATCTTACAAAATAACTGAGTTGGCAAGACTGGTGGTCAACCGCACCGTCGCGACATTCCGACATGTAGAGCCAATCACTGCACAGAATGTAATGTGATGACAATTTTCACCTGCCTTGTCCCTACAAAAATAATAACGGGTTAATGGAATACATTCGATCAGCGGTTCTCAACCGGTGGTCCGCGGACCCCTGGTGGTCGGTGATGCTACTGCAGGGGGTTCGCGGAAAATAAAGACAGCAGCATCCTCGCCGAAGACATTTCAAATAGCTCGTGGCATGCGGTGGTCCGCGAAATGCTTGGAGGTTGAAAAGGGGTCCGCACACTGGAAAATGTTGAGAAACGCTGCATTCAGTTAAACATTTTATCAATGTCATTTATATTAAAGTGTACAAATTCGCGTCTACTAATTGTCCTCAAGTTACTAATTAAAAAATGTTGCCTGCCGATGTAATTATGCAATTTGTCAACCATGGGATGTAATAGTAGAGTAGAATAGGCATTACAGTATACCCGTGGTTGCCATCTGTGCCATTATTTGTCTTTGTACATCTGTGCTGGATTGCACTGCTGCCCTGAAACCTGTTTGGCCCAGGTGACGCTTGTAATGGAGACTTGGTGTGTCAGCGGAGTCTTGCCTGGCCAAGTGAAGTTGATGAGGATAATGATAATTAATCAAACTTTCAATATATCAATTGGATTGTTTTGTAATTTTATAGCGACAGAATTACTTGGTTGATACTGCTAACAAGTCGCTTTCCCTTCTGCTGTCGTTTAAAAAGCCATTTCTACCGTACAATAATTTTCAAATGTTTGCAAGACAAGTTATTGACCTTGCTACTCCTGCTTGTCGTTAGTGGCAGGAGCGGCACCACACTGACTGCTGGGAAACCTCCTGCTGGGTAGAGTCGCGTTTGACCGTCACGCAGGAGAGTAAAGTTGAAACGTCATTCTGGACGTTAATTTGTTTGCATGCAAAATGTTCGTGCATAGCAAATGTATATATTTTTATACTAATACCCGCAGTCTCGTGTATGCATTAACCACACCATAATGATGAAATATTCTTCAAGGTTTTTGCTATGCAAGTAGAATAGTGACTGCCTGTTGTGTGTAAGATAAGGCTGCATGGGATATATGTGTGGCACCATGGGGAAACACAAGGGAAGGGAAGTAATTACCCCGCCCATTCCTGTTCGTGATATTTTTTGTTTATTAAAGTTGACATTACATCTTGATTTAAAGATTTCGTGACTGCAGGGATTCATATTCTTGGTTCTTTCGGTAAAGTCATGTAGAAGGGAAACAATAAGATAATAAAAATATAAAACAATACAATTCTCACGACGTTTCGACTGCAACACAAGCAATCGTCAGGTGTGAAAACCACAGCAAGAAAATTTTCTTGCTGTGGTTTTCACACGCAAGAAAATTGCTTGTTTTGCAGTCGAAACTTCGTGAGAATTGTATTGCTTTATATTTTTATTATTTTATTGTTTCCCTTCTACGTATCTTTACCGAAAGAACCAAGAATATGAAGTTGACATTGTGAAATGACCACTGTACACGCATGTACCAAGCATGACAACGTGAAGCAGAGATGGCTGCGATGAAAGTGTTCAACTTTGATTTTGGGAGAAACCATCGAACGGGCCATGCCTCATCATTACAGAAGTGTAACATTATGGTCTAAAAGTAAACATTCACCTGTCAATGTGATATGGCACATGTGCCTTTATCGTAACACGTGGGATTGAATTTTACACCACGTGACGCCATTTGACAATATTGAGTAATTAACACATCATGGTCAGTATCCACGAGTAATGATCTTGTTTTTGAAGTGAGAAATCCCACCCCAGTGTCCCACAACTGGCTCTGTGGTGGCTGCTGCTATTGAAATGGATCCAACGAGGAGCAACATCACCTGAGCCTTGGGTCAAACAGCAGCAAACAGCGTCCAGAGACGGGCTCTGACCTCATGACCAAGGAGGCAAATGCTGCATGGGTTGAGACGTCCATTGTTGAGACTCTTCGACTTGTATGAATGAGCGATACACTTTTTCCAAATGCTGTGCAGTTACTTTTCTGGAGCCGAGTATTTCCATATAACATTGTTTTAGTTCGGTGGTGTTATTTACTTGATTTAAATTAATAATTTTGAGTGTCAACATTCCAGTTTTAAGATGGTTTTGTGCATATTTAACATGCAAAATATAGGAATAATCTGTTATGGTTCGTAATCTTTCAGTTGTGTTCAAAAGCAGAAGTAACATAAAGTGTCCTGTGCTCTTCACACGGAATGCGATATAATGAGAAATCCTTCAGGCTTGAGCTTCAAATATCAAGACGTGAAAACAAAACGCGTGGCTATTTAAATGATCATTAGTAATTTCCAGCTGTGATTAGTGTCTCTCTGAATCGGAGTTTGCCACTATAAATTCAACAGGTGTAACAGAGACTTATTGTGTGAATGGGGTTTTACCTTGCAAAACAAGGACGGGTATTGTATTTTATACGAACGAAATCTATATTTTTATTCGGTTATATTGTTCAACTTGATGTTGTAAAACAAGTTGTAATTCTGCTTTGGTGTACTTAAAAAAGCCCAAATGACAAGCAATGGAACTTGTTCCATATTCCTGCAGTTCTCTTTACCAGCGAACCATCACGTCATCCCTGTTCTGACTCAGATGGAGGACACGCACAGTAGTCGCAACAGTGACCATGGTAGCTGGGAGAAGGGCCGGTTTTAGATGTCTTTACCCCCGGAACACCGGATCAGAGAAGACCTCCCTCCCCTTCTGACATTAAAACAACGTGAGACATAACACTTAATGAAGCTCGTATTGGTCATGTTATTCTTGTTTAAACAATTATACAGAATTAATAAAGTCATATTTCTGAATACAGATTTTGTTTGTTATATTTATTTGGCCTCTGTCGTTTTGGAGGCTGGACAAGTGTGCCATTTCGCTGCACGCTGATGGGGCCCTGCAGCACTCCTCAGCCTTGGGCCAAATCTGTAAGTATCCACAAGTAATAATCTTGTTTTTGAAGTGAGAAATCCCACCCCAGTGTCCCACGGCTGGCTCTGTGGTGGCTGCTGCTATTGGAATGGATCCAACGAGGAGCAGCATCACCTGAGCCTTGGGTCAAACAGCAGCGAGCCGCGTCCAGGCAGGGCCTCCGACTTCATGGCCAGGGAGCCGCAGGGCGCATGGACGCACACCACCAGACTTGACGTGCACGGACGCGAATTTAACATGCATGTTCCAAATGGTGTCAGGTGACTCTTTTATACCTAAGCACGTTCATGGTCATTAATGTTAGTTATGAATTCGTATTTTTATTTAGGTCAATAAATGTATTTTTGAGCACGATAACAGTTGTAACATTTCTTTTGTATTCGGCGCTGAAACAGTAAACGGAAGCGTGACGATGAAGTCGTGCTATAGAGAGAGGCTGGGGTTTGGTTTGGGAGCTGTGGTTGGAAGTGAAACCTCAGCGAGCTGTGGGTGGGATGTCGCCACACTTCAACTGAAGGCGGCAGCAGGAGCGACATAAAACGTGGTGCGTGCTGAGAACTGAGCAGACGGCGCCGTGGCTCTGAGCCATGGACACGGAGACGAGGAGACGTGCGGTGTGGATGAGTGTTGTCATCTGCATCTTGTCCCGCATCAGTGAGTTATTGTTCGCGTGCTGTTATACACCACACTGTGTATACGTACAGTATGTACGTTCAACTTGTTGCTCACCGTACATTTTAAAACCGTACCGTAGTGTTCAACACTTTATAATTTTGCCGTTTTGTCGTTTCACTTTTGAAGCGAGTGTTCATTTACAGGCATCCCCCAGAGAGTATTTTGTTGCTGTGGGACAGGAAGTCACCTTGACGTGTGACAGAAACACTCCAGGATGGTCACAGTACGACAATCCCAATATCAGCTCTATCACCTGGAGGCGGCGTGGTGAAGGCAATGGAGCACCCGATATGGATTTAACAAACTCACGAGATTTCAGGATAACAGTCATTAAGGATGTTGATCAACATCGAGTTTCTATCCGAATCGCAAATGTGCAGCACAGTGACGCTGGGGTTTACCGTTGCCTGGTTAAAAGCGAAGTTGGAACAGAGAGTCCCATGATGGAAATTATCACAATGGAAGGTAAGGAAATGTGTTACACTATATTGCACAAGCACCCTTCCTGTATGTATGATTATTTGTCGTACATTTTTAATGGTGATATTATTTCATCACATTGTATCCGTGAAGAACAAGTTGTGGTGTGAACGCTGCAAAGAGTTTACACGAGGGTGATGCGTGGCGCTGGTACTGCACGTGAGGAGCCATTCCACTGCAATGCCACCGGCAGATTGTCCTCGCTGCCTCACGTCCTCTGCCTCACCGTTGCACTGCGACTCGTGGAGGTGACACGGCACAGACTTCCTGTCGCTCCCACAGTGGCATTGCACCCAGAGTCCTGTGCGGTGCTCTCCTAGCGAAGCCGCGCGTTTACTTGCAGGAGTGTCAGTGTCACAGGTGACGTTGGTACTGATGCAGCCCCCTCACACCGACCACTGTCACACAGCCCGTCAGGTCTCTGTGGTGATCGGGGACCGGTTAGGAGTCGCCCAGACTCGCTGAGTGTCGCTGCTGTGGTCTCGCCCACAAGAGGAGTAGTGGAGGAGTCTGGAGCACGGAGTCACTGCTGATGTCTGAGTTTGTTTTACTGCTTTTGCTTTCTGTAGTTTCAGCAAACCCATCCAGTGTCGTGAGTGAAGGAGAGACTGTCACATTGACGTGTCACATCTCAAACAGTGCCTATGTTAAAAGTATTGTTTGGACTCACGGTGGCACTGAGATGAACCCAGCCACATCTGTGCTGACACTGAACAAAGTAAAACGATCTCAACAGGGACAATGGAAATGTGCTCTACATGACCAGCAAAACAGTCCCTTTGCCTCGTACAATTTGGAGTTTAGATCAACTGGTAAGTCTACTGTTATATATATATTTAATTGTACTGTTATTACCTTACGTGTTTTATCATCATGAACTTATAACATTTTAATGTCAAATGTAACAAATACATATTCACATGCAGTAAATATTTTGATAATTACTGTGCATTGCTAAATTCACTGCTGTTTATTTTATAGGAAGTGATGTTTGGCAGGCACCGGCAGTGAAGAAATATTGCATACAAGACGGTGGGGAGGTCTCTTTGTCATGTGATGAATCTGATCCTGGATTTCAGTGGAAAGATCATTCACAGCTGGCACGCGCTGTCACTTGGAAATGGAGATCGCATGATGGCACAACAAAGGGTTCTGATCAGAACATACAATATCCATCGCAACCGTCTGATTATATAGATCAGTTTCCTTTAACATTGTCGCTAGTTACGTTTTCAAGTGGTGGGGTTTACACATGTGAGTTTACTGGCTACTATAGGACAGGCACCCTCACAATGGAACTGGTCACAATGAAAGGTAATGTGCTTTTGGTTTATATATCATTAAAACACTTTCACACAATAGTGTAACTTCTAGATTAAAATAAATTACACCTGCACATAACACACCATGGTATTCATATAATAACTTTCAGTAATGCTCAGGTAAAAGCTGTTGCATGTTTAATGAGTACGTTTAAATCGGTATCACAGGTAGCCCTTCTGCTGCATGTATGTTGAACTTCTTTCGCACCATACGTAGCCAACCGTGCTAATCGGAGGTGCTGCACATTGGGTCCTGCACTGGTGGAGATGTCTGACATTGGATGAGCCCCTCCTGACTCTCCCTGTCACTCCGTGCCCTCTGGTGACGTCACACGACATGTGGTGCCACATCAGTGGCACGGTGCCCGTGCGATGTCACCCGTGTTCCAGTAGGGCCACGCGATTTCTTGCCGAACTGTTCATGGAAGGGACAATTGTTGTTTCTGGACCTCGTCTGACACTGACTCCTGTCACGTGTGATACTGTTTTAGTGAAACTGCGTGTTTACTTGCAGAACTGTGAGTGCTGCGTAGGCTCCTCACACCGCCCCCTGTCACACAGCCCGTCAGGTCTCTGTGGTGACCGAGGGCCGTTTAGGAGTCGCCCAGACTCGCTGAATGTCTCTGTTGTGGCCTCGCCCACAAGAGGAGTAGTGGAGGAGTATGGAGCACGGAGTCACTGCTGATGTCTGAGTTTGTTTTACTGCTTTTGCTTTCTGTAGTTTCAGCCAACGCATCCAGCGTCGTGAGTGAAGGAGCGACTGTCACATTGAGGTGTGACATCTCAAACAGTGGCTATGGAATAGGTCTGGTTTGGTATCATGGTGGAACTTACATTGACAAAGGCAATTCGCTGACACTGAACAAAGTAAAACGATCTCAACAGGGAGAATGGAAATGTTTTCTATATCACCAGCACCACAGTCCCTTTGCCTCGTACACACTGGAGTTAACATCAACTGGTAAGTCTCCTGTTAAATGTATTTAAATGTAATGTTGTTACCTGACGTGTCGAGTTATTACATTGAATTTGAATCTGTCAAATGTAACCGTTACATATTTTCATGCAGTAAATGTTTTGATAATTACTGTGCATTGGTTAATTCACTGCTGTTTCTTTTATAGGAAGTGATGTTTGGCAGGCACCGGCAGTGAAGAAATATTTCATACAAGACGGTGGGAAGGTCTCTTTGTCATGTGATGAATCTGATCCTGGATTTCAGTGGAAAGATCATTCACAGCAGACACGCGCTGTCACTTGGAAATGGAGATCGCATGATGGCACAACACAGCGATATGATCAGAACATACAATATCCATCGCAACCGTCTAATTATAGAGATCAGTTTCCTTTAACATTGTCGCAAGTTACGTTTTCACGTGGTGGGGTTTACACATGTGAGTTTACTGGATACTATAGGACAGGCACCCTCACAATGGAACTGGTCACAATGAAAGGTAATGTGCTTTTGGTTTATATATCATTAAAACACTTTCACACAATAGTGTAACTTCTAGATTAAAATAAATTACACCTGCACATAACACACCATGGTATTCATATAATAACTTTCAGTAATGCTCAGGTAAAAGCTGTTGCATGTTTAATGAGTACGTTTAAATCGGTATCACAGGTAGCCCTTCTGCTGCATGTATGTTGAACTTCTTTCGCACCATACGTAGCCAACCGTGCTAATCGGAGGTGCTGCACATTGGGTCCTGCACTGGTGGAGATGTCTGACATTGGATGAGCCCCTCCTGACTCTCCCTGTCACTCCGTGCCCTCTGGTGACGTCACACGACATGTGGTGCCACATCAGTGGCACGGTGCCCGTGCGATGTCACCCTTGTTCCAGTAGGGCCACGCGATTTCTTGCCGAACTGTTCATGGAAGGGACAATTGTTGTTTCTGGACCTCGTCTGACACTGACTCCTGTCACGTGTGATACTGTTTTAGTGAAACTGCGTGTTTACTTGCAGAACTGTGAGTGCTGCGTAGGCTCCTCACACCGCCCCATGTCACACAGCCCGTCAGGTCTCTGTGGTGACCGAGGGCCGTTTAGGAGTCGCCCAGACTCGCTGAGCGTCTCTGCTGTGGCCTCGCCCACAAGAGGAGTAGTGGAGGAGTCTGGAGCACGGAGTCACTGCTGATGTCTGAGTTTGCTTTACTGCTTTTGCTTTCTGTAGTTTCAGCCAACCCATCCCGCTTTGTGAGAGAAGGAGAGACTGTCACATTGACGTGTCACATCTCAAACAGTGCCTATGTAAAAAATATTGTTTGGACTCACGGTGGCATTGAGATGAACCCAGGCAATTCTGTGCTGATATTACGCAAAGTCAAACGATGTCAAGAGGGAGCATGGACATGTGGTGTCAAAACCCAAACTGACAAAGCCTCTGCTTCTCACGATTTGAAAGTTTCATCACAGAGTAAGTGTATTCAGGAATTGATTTTAGCTGGAGCTGTCTGGGGTTGATCCCAGGAAAATATTTATCCCCCCTCTCTACCTTTTGTTATCCCCGTCAGTTGGGGGAAGGCGTGGGGGGGGGGGGGTCCAGGAGTTTGGGCAGGCCCAGAAATATTCCGAAAGAAATGAAGCCCTCGGTGATTTTAATTTCACACCGTGATCTTTTAAATATGTTTAATTTGTATTACCAATGCAATCTGTATATTATAAATGTGATTAATCTGATGTATGTGATGCATCCCTTGTGGAGGTGTAATAACGAAAAGTATTACAATTGTCAAATATTTTTCCGTAATTTAAACGTTTGAATTGTAATACTTTATCTCTTTTGTTATATTTTTGTAGATGTTTGTGATGCAACGGCACCTGCTCCCATAAAGTATTTTGTTTCTGTGGGCCAGTCGGTCATTTTGCCATGCGTTGAATCTGATCCAGAATTTAAATGGAAAGATCACCCTTCCTCTGACCTGGCTCTGACCTGGCGATGGGAGAGGCAGGGTAGTGGTAGCGAAACGATTGTCCAGTATCCTAAGCAAACTGGTCAATGGTATAGAGATGTATGGAAAAATACCCCTATACCTCTGGTTTCCAGAGTAACGAGATTGAAGTCTGTTTTTGATGAAGACAACTTCTCTATTCAAATCTCAAAAGTGCAACACAGTGATGCTGGGTTCTACATTTGCCATTTTACTGGCTACTTTAGAACAAGCAGCTTAACAAGAGAACTTATCACAATGCAAGGTAAATAATATTTCACTGTTTTGCACGAGGATATGCACTTACATATAAAAGTGGAATGCATTTAATTATTCATTGTGTACGATTTTGTATTATTAGTCAATTAATGTAAACTGCTACCAATTATATAAAAGTATTAATGTTGATGGCTGTAATGAATTTGCTCAATCATAAACATTCTGCTGCTATTGCACATTATGAATTCTTCCAACGTGATAGCACCACACGTCCGAGGAATCTCACGAGACTGACGATTGTTCCACGATCCATGGAGATGGCAACCCAGGCTTCCCATCACACTGCACTGGCGTCACATACACAGCCATCGCCCATGACATTCTGCCTGTGGTGTAGTGCAGCCACATGTTTGCCGGCACATCTCTGAACAGGAGAGTCTGCTGCTGATGCCGACCCATCGTACTCACATGGACAGAGCTCTGTGGTGATGGGGGACCGTTTAGGAGTCGCCCCGACTCGCTGAGTGTCTCTGCTGTGGTCTCGCCCACAAGAGGAGTAGTGGAGGAGTCTGGAGCACGGAGTCACTGCTGATGTCTGAGTTTGTTTTACTGCTTTTGCTTTCTTTAGTTTCAGCCAACCCATCCCACTCTGTGACAGAAGGAGAGACTGTCACATTGACCTGTCTCATATCAAACAGTGGCGATGGAACAGGTCTGGTTTGGTATCATGGTCGAATTTACATTTCACAAGGCAATCAGCTGACACTGAACAAAGTAAAACGATTTCAACAGGGAGAATGGAAATGTTTTCTATATCACCAGCACAACAGTCCCTTTGCCTCGTACACACTGGAGTTAACATCAACTGGTAAGTCTCCTGTTAAATGTATTAAAATGTAATGTTATTAACTGACGTGTCGAGTTATTACATTGAATTTGAATCTGTCAAATGTAACCGTTACATATTTTCATGCAGTAAATGTTTTGATAATTACTGTGCATTGGTTAATTCACTGCTGTTTATTTTATAGGAAGTCATGTTGAGAAGGCACCCGCAGTGCAGAAATATTTCATACACGAGGGTGGGGAGGTCTCTTTGTCATGTGATGAATCTGATCCTGGATTTCAGTGGAAAGATCATTCACAGCGGACACGCGCTGTCACTTGGAAATGGAGATCGCATGATGGCACAACAAAGCGATATGATCAGAACATACAATATCCATCGCAACCGTCTGATTATAAAGATCAGTTTCCTTTAGCATTGTCGACAGTTACGTTTTCACGTGGTGGGGTTTACACATGTGAGTTTACTGGCTACTATAGGACAGGCACCCTCACAATGGAACTGGTCACAATGAAAGGTACGGTAATATTGAGTCATATAAACTAAATATATTCATAAAAATTGTTACTAATTTCTGTTACAAAAATGTATTAACACGTTTCAGCATGCTATGAAAATGAAATGTCGGACGATATTGTTCATGATTGTGACGTAAATGCCGTAGTGAGTTTATGTTCACGTGAACGATTGTTACTGCTGCTGCACATACAAGCTGTCATTGCTGTAGCATTCAATATTGGATGCGCATCATCTGATTCTCATTGCCCATCATGCCATCGCCCTTGCAGATGAGAGCCTAAGTGTTCCGTCATGTAAACGGTCGTGTCACAACCACATTCACGGGAATATTCCCGTGTTTTTTACTTGCGGAACTGATATATTTTACAGTTATTGCTTTCCCTAATAAAAGATAAATCATACAATAGATAATGTATAGTGTACTTACCTATATTTACGAGTAGCGCTGCTGCTGTTGGCCATTCAGACTCCTGCTGTGAGTTCACGTTCACAATCAGGTTTTAGGTCGAGGGATTTGGGATTAGGCAATTCCTGGGCCAGTGCTTCTCGTGATCAGTGGACACGTGGTCTCCTCTTCACCCCTTCACCATCCCTCCCCTGGAGTCTCTGTGCTCTGCTGCTGTAATCACGATTAGAGGAGCAGTGCAGGAGGGATTCCATGATCTCAACTGCGCTGTGAGGCCTCCAGGCTCATATCTCCTGGAATCTTAGCACAGCTGTGGATTCCACGTGACCAGGGAATGGCCATGCCTCAAAATTCAGAATGTGTTGTGCTATAGGTCGGGCTGCTGAGTCAATGAGCCGTAAATATGTATTCTTGTTTCGTGTTCTTTAGTTTCATCCAACACATCCGATACCGTGGCAGAAGGAGATAGCATCAGTCTGACCTGCCAGCTCTCTAACGACTCCTATGCACACATGGTCAGATGGATTCACAATGGGATTGAGATCAGCCATCAAAGCAGCCTCGTTTTGGTGAAAGTGAAGGCTGCTCAGAGTGGGTTGTGGAAGTGTTCCCTGAAAAGGGAGAGTGGAGAGATCTCAGAGGTAGCGTACAATTTGAACGTGCAGAAAATTGGTAAGTACACATCTCACCAAACTTCAGTTCCATCATTAAAACACTGCAATCACATACTGAAAATAAATACTCTGATCAAGTGTGTTACGTTTCATCCTATATATATACTGCAGTTATTGCAATCGTTCTAAATTGAAAATGAAATTAATACACATGAAAGAAGACTCTTGCCCTTATCTTTATCCACAAGGTAAGGTATTTATTTCACGACACGGGTCCACACCTTCCATCTCGCTCTCTCTCCTACAATGTCCCGAACTCCGACTCCAACTCCCTCTTTTAACCTCTTCCTGGTTCCGCACCTCGTCGCACTCCGTCTCCACCAATCATCACCTCTCTTACCCCCACCTGGCCTAACCATCCCACCTGACGCTCACCCAACCCTCCAGTTCTTTTCCCTTTTGAACGTTCCGGACAATCCCCTTGCTCCCCTGTGCCCTTATCAATCAGAGCGTGGAGTGTTTACTCCAGACTTCTAGATTCCTCCGTCCCAGGGATCGTGTGGGACAATCACTACACACATCGGACATACAGTTAAATTGACTAAAGTAATTTGTAAACTTAACACAATTTCCATGCTTATACCTTCAGGTGCAAGGTGTGTAGCTGTATTGTGGCATCCTGTGTGTTTGGAAATGAAACCATTGTTTTAACACGATCTGCAGGTGCAGAGCAAAACGCACCTAGGAATTACGCGGCTAAAATTGGTGAAGGAACCACGTTGTCCTGCACCGAGTCTGACCCTGGGTTTGTGTGGAGGAGCTCCTCCAATGAGTCTCGTTTGGTCACCTGGTACTGGAGGCCACGTGGTGACAGCACAGTCCGTACGATACTCGCGGCCCACCCAGCCGGACCTCACGCTGCATTCAGTTCCCACCTCAACTCCCACGTGAACATCTCGTCCTCCGCTTTTGACGACGACGACTTCTCTCTGACCATCTCAGTGGTGAATGATGATGCAGGGGGGGTTTACACTTGTCAGGTTGAAGGATATTTCCGATCCTGGCAGTTGGAAATGGAGTTGATTACGTCACAAGGTACAAGACTTCCCATTTTTGTCATGGAAAACAAACACTGTGCTCTCTTGTTGATGCTCTAAATTGCGGCTCCCGGTTTTACGATGTAATCGCTGGCTTTCAACGTTACCTTGCAGATCGGGAAAGTTAATTTCAACCTAAAGCTCTTGTTACGTCATATTACATGACTGTGAAACGCGTTTGAATATATATTAATGAACAACTTTCAATCTATGAAAATATAAAATGTGTTTATCAAATGACTTAAGTTATTTTATCGTCTCTTTAGTTCATGCATTATTTTGTATTTCGCAACAGTGCCAGGGGCATCTCCGTACGTGTCGGTTGCTGTTGGTGTGGTGCTGGCTGTGCTTCTCTCTGCTGGAGCTGCTGTTGTTGCAGTGGTGGGCTATAGAAGAAGGAAGCTCAATGCAGGTCATTGGCATCACCCACCACTCTACAACCAAATAGCGTTCCTCACACTGAACCCCATTCATCCAACACATGTTGTGTAGCTCCCTTAAGGGTCACTACAACCGCATGTCATTTAATTCATGGAGGAGGGGGTTACCCTCTGGCTGGGATCGCTGTTGATGTCGGCATTGCTGCTGTGTCTCTATGTGTGGCCGTCAGCCTTGTGTGCTACACACAGCAACACTCGTGCAGGTGTGAGACCATCCACACGCCACTGCCAGCCATGCCTCCTCCTAGCAGGGGAAACAGCTCTCGTTTATTATGACCCAGCCGAGAGCCTCTTGAGAAGATGCCATTGAGACGCGTGTACACTGTCTAGGTGTAAATGTTGGTAAACTTTTAAGAGTCCTGGGCAATGGAAGAAAACGGAATATTAAAAATGCGTGCCAGAATAAAATGAAACGTTTGGTATTCAAAATAAATTCAGTAGCGTGTGCTGTCCACCACAGTTTTAATAGCACGTGGTCTGTGTGTTCAAAGAGGTAAACCACACCTTTTGTTTTGACAAGTATATTTATTGTTTGTGGAAATAACACTCGTTCAGTTTGGCTAGCGAGACAAAATGTTCACCCTTGGTTTAAATTCGATTCAATTAAAGACACTATTTCATATTCTTAGCAGAGTCTCAGGCAGAGCAAGAAAGTGCTTATCAAGCATTGAACTTGCAATCGATGATGATGGTTGGTAAGTTTCCGCATTTATGCGGCACTCTTTTTCACCCATATGCAACACACAATTACTTCACAGTGGTCAGACATCCCTTCGTCTTGAGACTTTGGTTTCCCAGGATACATAAATGGCGTAACAACTTCAATGTCCTTTGATCTATACGCTTTGTACCATTAAAGGTTCACAGTTGTGTTTAAACGTCAGATTTAATGAAATCATACACATGAAATTTGAAGATTTCGTGATAACTACATTGAATGGACAGTTCATGAAGTTGACAGTGAAGCACAGGCAACGTAGTGCAGGCAACAGAGCCAAAACAAGAACACGTGTTGTGACCAAAGGCATCGCATTGATGCCTTTGCCTCGTCGCGTTCGCGAATGGGTCGAGAGGAGTGGCATCGCCGTGAAGTCCACAGTGGAGATTTTGTTTCACGACAGGCCCTGATCCACAGCGAGGAAGCGACTATGAAGTGCCGGAATCGCCATCGGTGACCAACAATGGTAGCTGTCACTTGTTCACAAGTCGCTATGTCACGCACTTTGTGACGACGAGGATGTCTGCTCTCACGTAACGCTTGCGATCGTCAACTGAAGTCAGATGGCGCCTATGAATAACAATGTATAAATTGAAATGTATACATTACGACGAATTAATTACAACGTATAAATTACAAGGTGTAATTGACATTTTATAAATCACAACGTATAAATTACTACCTAGAAATCACAACGTATAAATTACTACCTATAAATCACAACGTATAAATTACTACCTAGAAATCACAACGTATAAATTACTACCTAGAAATCACAACGTATAAATTACTACCTAGAAATCACAACGTATAAATTACTACCTAGAATTCACAACCTATAAATTACTACCTAGAAATCACAACGTATAAATTACTACCTATTAATCACAACGTATAAATTACTACCTATGAATCACAACCTATAAATTACTACCTATAAATCACAACGTATAAATTACTACCTAGAAATCACAACGTATAAATTACTACCTATTAATCACAACGTATAAATTACTACTTATGAATCACAACCTATAAATTACTACCTATTAATCACAACGTATAAATTACTACCTATAAATCACAACGTATAAATTACTACCTAGAATTCACAACGTATAAATTACTACCTATAAATCACAACGTATAAATTACTACCTATAAATCACAACCTATAAATTACTACCTATAAATCACAACGTATAAATTACTACCTAGAAATCACAACGTATAAATTACTACCTAGAAATCACAACCTATAAATTACTACCTAGAATTCACAACCTATAAATTACTACCTAGAAATCACAACGTATAAATTACTACCTATTAATCACAACGTATAAATTACTACCTATGAATCACAACCTATAAATTACTACCTATAAATCACAACGTATAAATTACTACCTAGAAATCACAACGTATAAATTACTACCTATGAATCACAACGTATAAATTACTACCTATAAATCACTACGTATAAATTACTACCTATAAATCACAACGTATAAATTACTACCTAGAATTCACAACGTATAAATTACTACCTAGAAATCACAACGTATAAATTACGACCTATAAATCACAACATATAAATGACGACCTAGAAATCACAACGTATAAATTACTACCTATGAATCACAACCTATAAATTACTACCTATAAATCACAACGTATAAATTACTACCTAGAAATCACAACGTATAAATTACTACCTATGAATCACAACGTATAAATTACTACCTATAAATCACTACGTATAAATTACTACCTATAAATCACAACGTATAAATTACTACCTAGAATTCACAACGTATAAATTACTACCTAGAAATCACAACGTATAAATTACGACCTATAAATCACAACATATATATTACGACCTAGAAATCACAACGTATAAATTACTACCTAGAATTCACAACGTATGAATTACTACCTATAAATCACAACGTATAAATTGCTACCTATAAATCACAACGTATAAATTACTACCTATAAATCACAACGTATAAATTACTACCTAGAATTCACAACGTATAAATTACTACCTAGAAATCACAACGTATAAATTACTACCTAGAATTCACAACGCATAAATTACTACCTATAAATCACAACCTATAAATTACTACCTATAAATCACAACGTATAAATTACTACCTATAAATCACAACGTATAAATTACTACCTATAAACTACAACGTATAAATTACTACCTATAAATCACAACGTATAAATTACTACCTATAAATCACAACCTATAAATTACTACCTAGAAATCACAACGTATAAATTACTACCTAGAAATCACAACGTATAAATTACTACCTATAAACTACAACGTATAAATTACTACCTATAAACTACAACGTATAAATTACTACCTAGAATTCACAACGTATAAATTACTACCTAGAATTCACAACGTATAAATTACTACCTATAAATCACAACGTATAAATTACTACCTATAAATCACAACGTATAAATTACTACCTATAAATCACAACCTATAAATGACGACGTCAACAACTTGCTGTCAGATGCCCCCCGGCAGGAGCGCGAAGGCCACTACCAAGCCCTCAAGCTGCAGCGAAAGGAGGCAGAAGGTAGAGGGCGCACGAGACGACCTGCAGAGAGCGACACGTGGCCCCACGTCACCTTGGCCATCGACCACAACATTGCCAGCGCCAGGCGCTGCAATTTTGCTGAACTTATTGAGAGTCCAAGGCACACGTCCACTGATTTAATCCATCCACTTCAATGGACTTTATTTGCTTGTGCTGTTAATCTATTTTTGATCGTGTTCTTTGGTAATAGTAACGTTGTCGATGCTGGAATGTAAACTCTTATTCTGTCTGTCACAGACGATTATGACAATCTTAACGTACGACGCGAGGACGACACGGGCCTTGTGAGTACAGTTTATTTGTCTGGGGTTATTTTGATTGTTCTATGACATTAACACAACTCGCAGAGTTTAAATCACACGATGCAAACAATTCAACAACTTAAAATATAACAATAAAAATACTTGCCGACGAAAATGGAACTGAGATCACAAACCGGCGTCTCGTAATGCTGTTCTGTAATGCACAGCTGGGATTACGTTCCCATTGCCACGAGGGACACTATGGTATGTTTACAACTCAGTTGACTGTCATTCACTTGGCAAGGCCAAAGCAATGACAAAGTCGAACGCTGTCTCATTGTTGTGTTTGTACCGCGCGCTGTGCCTCATTGTTGCCGCTAGGGGGCCCTGGCCACTCGTGCCCGTGAGGCGCCGTCTGGGCTCCCAGCCCCAGATGTGGCCCTCGGGAACGGCGTCCGTCGCTCGCATCTCCAGGGGATCTCGGCTGCATCTTCCGGACCCAGCTTTAGTTTTCGTTGAGCACACAAGTGGTTTGTAGAGGCCACAGGGTGTTTCAAAGGCAGTTTCTTGCTCGTGGCTCTTGATGTGAAGCGGTGAGGGGGGGGAGGGGACACGAAAACCACAACCGCTTAGCCCACTTACAGGTGACACGTGCAGGTGCAGCATCAGCCGCCATGGAGTCTCTGCCAAAGACAATATCTACATCAGGGCCACGTCGGAACATCGAAAGGAATGTTTGCCACAAGGCCAGCGTGCATTTTTTAAAATCTTGCTGTTCTAGATGTTTTCCCACTTAAAATGGCCCTGGTTTCTTACGTCAACATTTTCCACCCTACGAGGTCGCCTCCTTCACCTTGACACATCTGTGCTTGCTCACGTCTCCCCTGTGTGTGCGGGGCGCCGCGGTGGCGAGATCTTAACTGCCTCGCCTGGTATGCGGGAGGTCGTGGGTTCCACCCTGACGCCTGCTGTATATTTGGAGTGTGCGTGTCTCTCTCCCCGTTGTCGCGTGGAGTTCCCCTCCATATTTAGAAACATGCTTTTAGAGTATGTGGCCGCTGTACATTTCCACATGATGAGCCGCTTCGTTGAGCTATAATTTGTGTTCAGGTTGCCCATGAAAAAGAGCTATCTAGCACAGTGGGCCTTACCTGGTAAAATAAAAAAAAATGTTTGTGAATAAAAATATTTCAGTTTTTGTGTGGGCAGTGCCAGTGCAGTTCTCTCCTGTGTCCGTGTAGGTCATAGACACGGAGCACTCCGTGCAGCCACTTCGCTGGCAGCAGCTGCTGCTGCTACCCACAAGTGGGCACAGGGATGGCGTGGTCAGCAGTAATGCCAACTGCTTGAAGCGGAAAGTCGCCAAACGAACCTCACACAACCGCTAGATGTCCTTCTAAAGTCATTGAATATGTCACTAGACCATTTGCCAAGTATTTAAGATCGACAACTGATACAGAAATATTCGATACATTGCTGGAATTGCTCTTAAACCTGTCGAATGCCGTCATCCCAGAAAGTCACATATCACTTTACCAAAATATTTCACTCAGGGAAGCTCGTAGCACATTCACCGTTTTAGAGCAGTGCTTCGTGGTTCGAATCCACTGGCTGCCCTGATTATAACTGTGAGTGATTCACATTGGACGTCAACGATTCCTTCACATTCGCTGGAGTAGGCCATTATGTAACTGATTTCAGGATCAAAACTCAAAATTACAAAAAAAATGACTCAACAAATAACTCGATTAATATTGTAGGTAGTGATCATCGCTCCCTGCAGGCAGATTAATGTCCCAACACTCTTGCAAAGGAGATGCGACTGGGGTCTGAGTTCTCACCAGATTAATACAAATAAACCTGATCTTTACTCTTTGGTTCTTTCGGTAAAGTCACGTGGGTATAAAATACAATAAAAATCTGATCTTACAAAATATCTGAGTTGGCAAGACTGGTGGTCAACCGCACCGTCGCGACATTCCGACATGTAGAGCCAATCACTGCACCGAATGTAATGTGATGACAATATTCACCTGGCTTGTCCCTATAAAAAAAAATCAGCAATTCTCAACCGGTGTTCCGCGGACCCCTGGTGGTCGGTGATGCTACTGCAGGGGGTTCGCGGAAAATAAAGACAGCAGCATCCTCACCGAGGAAATTTCAAATAGCTCGTGGCATGCGGTGGTCCGCGAAATGCTTGGAGGTTGAAAAGGGGTCCGCACGCTGGAAAATGTTGGGAACCGCTGTATTCAGTTAAACATTTTATCAATGTGATTTATATTAAAGTGTACTAATTCGCGTCTACTAATCGTCAAGTTACTAATTATAAAATGTTGCCTGCCGATGTAAGTATGTAACTCGTCAACCATGGGATGTAATAGTAGAGTAGAATAGGCATCACAGTATACCCGTGGTTGCCATCTGTGCCATTATTTGTCTTTGTACATCTGTGCTGGATAGCACTGCTGCCCTGAAACCTGTTTGGCCCAGGTGACGCTTGTAATGGAGACTTGATGTGTCAGCGGAGTCTTGCCTGGCCAAGTGAAGTTGATGAGGATAATGATAATTAATCAAACTTTCAATATTTCAATTGGATTGTTTTGTACTTTTATAGCGACAGAATTGCTTGTTTGATACTGCTAACAAGTCGCTTTTCCTTCTGCTGTACCTTAACAAGCCATAGATACCGTACCATGATTTTCAAATGTTTGCAAGACAAGTTATTGACCTTGCTACTCCTGCTTGTCCTTAGTGGCAGGTTTGGTACCACACTGACTGCTGGGAAACCTCCTGCTGGGTAGAGTCGCGTTTGACCGTCACGCAGGAGAGTAAAGTTGAAACGTCATTCTGGACGTTAATTTGTTTGCATGCAAAATGTTCGTGCATAGCAAATGTATATAGTTTTATACTAATACCCGCAGTCTCGTGTATGCATTAACCACACCATAATGATGAAATATTCTTCAAGGTTTTTGCTATGCAAGTAGAATAGTGACTGCCTGTTGTGTGTAAGATAAGGCTGCATGGGATATATGTGTGGCACCATGGGGAAACACAAGGGAAGGGAAGTAATTACCCTGCCCATTCCTGTTCGTGATATTTTTTTGTTCATTAAAGTTGACATTACATCTTGATTTAAAGATTTCGTGACTGCAGGCATTCATATTCTTGATTCTTTCGGTAAAGTCACGTAGAAGGGAAACAATAAAATAATAAAAATATAAAACAATACAATTCTCACGACGTTTCGACTACAACACAAGCAATCGTCATCTGGTGTGAAAACCACAGCAAGAAAATTTTCTTGCTGTGGTTTTCACACGCAAGAAAATTGCTTGTTTTGCAGTCGAAACTTCGTGAGAATTGTATTGTTTTATATTTTTATTATTTTATTGTTTCCCTTCTACGTATCTTTACCGAAAGAACCAAGAATATGAAGTTGACATTGTGAAATGACCACTGTACACGCATGTACCAAACATGACAACGTGAAGCAGAGATGGCTGCGATGAAAGTGTTCAACTTTTATTTTGGTAGAAACCATCGAACGGGCCATGCCTCATCATTACAGAAGTGTAACATTATGGTCTAAAAGTAAACATTCACCTGTCAATGTGATATGGCACGTGTGCCTTTATCGTAACACGTGGGATTGAATTTTACACCACGTGACGCCATTTGACAATATTGAGTAATTAACACATAATTGTAAGTATCCACGAGTAATGATCTGGTTTTTGAAGTGAGAAATCCCACCCCAGTGTCCCACAGCTGGCTCTGTGGTGGCTGCTGCTATTGAAATGGATCCAACGAGGAGCAGCATCACCTGAGCCTTGGGTCAAACAGCAGCAAACAGCGTCCAGAGACGGGCTCTGACCTCATGACCAAGGAGGCAAATGCTACACGGGTTGAGACGTCCATTGTTGAGACTCTTCGACTTGTATGAATGAGCGATACACTTTTTCCAAATGCTGTGCAGTTACTTTTCTGGAGCCGAGTATTTCCATGTAACATTGTTTTAGTTCGGTGACGTTATTTGCTTGATTTAAACTAATGTTTTGAGTGTCAACTTTCCAGTTTGAAGATGGTTTTGTGCATATTTAACATTCAAAATATAGGAATAATCTGTTAATGTTCGTAATCTTTCAGTTGTGTTTAAAAGCAGAAGTAACAAAGTGTCCTGTGCTCTTCACACGGAATGCGATATAATGATAAATCATCCTGGCTTGGGCATTAAATATCAAGACGTGAAAACAAAACGCATGGCTATTTAAATAATCATCAGGAATTTCCAGCTGTGATTAGTGTCTCTCTGAATCGGAGTTTGCCACTATAAATTCAACAGTTGTAACAGAGTCTTATTGTGTGAATGGGTTTTTACCTTGCAAAACAAGGACGGGTATTGTATTTGATACAAACGAAATCTATATTTTTATGCGGTTATATTGTTCAACTTGATGTTGTAAAACAAGTTGTAATTCTGCTTTGCTGTACTTAATAAACCCAAATGACAAGCAATGGAACTTGTTCCATATTCCTGCAGTTCTCTTTACCAGCGAACCATCACGTCATCCCTGTTCTGACTCAGATGGAGGACACGCACAATAGTCGCAACAGTGACCATGTTAGCTGGGAGAAGGGCCGGTTTTAGATGTCTTTACCCCCGGAACACCGGATCAGAGAAGACCTACCTCCCCTTCTGACATTAAAACAACGTAAGACATAACACTTAATGAAGCTAGTATTGGTCATGTTATTCTTGTTAAAACAATTATACAGAATTAATAAAGTCATATTTCTGAATACAGATTTTGTTTGTTATATTTATTTGGCCTCTGGCGTTTTGGAGGCTGGACAGATGTCCCATTTATCTGCCCGCTGATGGGGCCCTGCAGCACTCTTGAGCCTTTGGTCAAATCTGTAAGTATCCACGAGAAATAATCTTGTTTTTGCAGTGAGAAATTCCACCCCAGTGTCCCACAGTTGGCTCTGTGGTGGCTGCTGCTATTGGAATGGATCCAACGAGGAGCAGCATCACCTGAGCCTTGGGTCAAACAGCAGCGAGCCGCGTCCAGGCAGGGCCTCCGACTTTATGGCCAGGGAGCCGCAGGGCGCATGGACGCACACCACCAGACTTGACGTGCACGGACTCGAATTGAACATGCATGTTCCAAATGGCGTCAGGTGACTCTTCTATACCTAACCACGTTCATGGTCATTAATGTTAATTCGTATTTAATTTAGGTCAATAAATTACTTTTTGAGCACGATAACAGTTGTAACATTTCTTTTTTATTCGGCGCTGAAACAGTAAACGGAAGCGTGACGATGAAGTCGTGCTATAGAGAGAGGCTGGGGTTTGGTGTGGGAGCTGTGGTTGGAAGTGAAACCTCAGCGAGCTGTGGGTGGGATGTCGCCACACTTCAACTGAAGGCGGCAGCAGGAGCGACATAAAACGTGGTGCGTGCTGAGAACTGAGCAGACGGCGCCGTGGCTCTGAGCCATGGACACGGAGACGAGGAGACGTGCGGTGTGGATGAGTGTTGTCATCTGCATCTTGTCCCGCATCAGTGAGTTATTGTTCGCGTGCTGTTATGCACCACACTGTGTATACGTACAGTATGTACGTTCAACTTGTTGCTCACCGTACATTTTAAAACCGTACCGTAGTGTTAAATACTTTATAATTTGCCGTTTTGTCGTTCACTTTTGAAGCGAGTGTTCATTTACAGGCATCCCCCAGAGAATATTTTGTTGCTGTGGGACAGGAAGTCACCTTGACGTGTGACAAAAACACTCCAGGATGGTCACAGCACGACAATCCCAATATCAGCTCTATCACCAGGCAGCGTGGTGAAGGCAGTGGAGCAACCGATATGGATTTAACAAACTCACGAGATTTCAGGATAACAGTCACTGAGGATGTTGATCAACATCGGGCTTCTATCCGAATCGAAAATGTGCAGCACAGTGACGCTGGGGTTTACAGTTGCCTGGGTAAAAGCGAAGTTGGAACAGAGAGTCCCATGATGGAAATTATCACAATGGAAGGTAAGGAAATGTGTTACACTATTTTGGACGAACACCCTTCCTATTCTTCAAAGTGAAATGTATGATTAATTGTCGTACATTTTTAATCGTGATATTCTTTCATCACATTGTATCCGTGAAGAACAAGTTGTGGTGTGAACGCTGCAAAGAGTTTACACGAGGGTGATGCGTGGCGCTGGTACTGCACGTGAGGAGCCATTCCACTGCAATGCCACCGGCAGATTGTCCTCACTGCCTCACGTCCTCTGCCTCACCGTTGCACTGCGACTCGTGGAGGTGACACGGCACAGACTTCCTGTCGCTCCCACAGTGGCATTGCACCCAGAGTCCTGTGCGGTGCTCTCCTAGCGAAGCCGCGCGTTTGCTTGCAGGAGTGTCAGTGTCACAGGTGACGTTGGTACTGATGCAGGCCTCTCACACCGACCACAGTCACACAGCCCGTCAGGTCTCTGTGGTGATGGGGGACCGGTTAGGAGTCGCCCAGACTCGCTGAGTGTCGCTGCTGTGGTCTCGCCCACAAGAGGAGTAGTGGAGGAGTCTGGAGCACGGAGGCACTGCTGATGTCTGAGTTTGTTTTACTGCTTTTGCTTTCTGTAGTTTCAGCAAACCCATCCAGCGTCGTGAGTGAAGGAGAGACTGTCACATTGACGTGTCACATCTCAAACAGTGCCTATGTACAAAGTATTGTTTGGACTCACGGTGGCACTGAGATGAACCCACGCAATTCTGTGCTGACATTACACAAAATCAAACGATGTCAAGAGGGAGCATGGACATGTGGTGTCAAAACCCAAACTGACCAAGCCTCTGCTTCTCACGATTTGACAGTCTCATCACAGAGTAAGTGAATTCAGAAATGAAGCCCTCGGTGAATTTAATTTCACACCGTGATTTTTTAAAATGTATGCTTAGTTTGTATTACCAATGCAATCAGTATATTATAAATGTGTTGAATATGACGTATGTGATGCATCCCTTGTGGAGTTGTAATAAATAAACGTATTAAAATTGTGAAATATTTTTTGTTATTTCAATGTTTGAAGTGTAATAATTGATCTCTTTTGTTATATTTTTGTAGATGTTTGTGATGTAAAGGCACCTGCTCCCAGAAAGTATTTCGTTTCTGTGGGCCAGACGGTCATTTTGCCATGCGTTGAAGATGATCCAGAATTTAAATGGAAAGATCACCCTTCCTCTGACCTGGCTCTGACCTGGCGATGGGAGAGGCAGGGTAGTGGTAGCGAAACGATTGTCCAGTATCCTAAGCAAACTGGTCAACGGTATGGAGATGTATGGAAAAATACCGCTATACCACTGGTTTCCAGAATAACGACATTGAAGTCTAATTTTGACAAAGACAACTTCTCTATTCAAATCTCAAAAGTGCAACACAGTGATGCTGGGCTCTACATTTGCCACTTTGCTGGCTACTTTAGAACAAGCAGCTTAACAAGAGAACTGATCACAATGCAAGGTAAATCATATTTTACTTTTTTGCACAAGCATATGCACTTCAATATAAAAGAGGAATACATTTAATGATTTATTGCGTAAGATTTTTTAAATTAATAGTCCGTGAATGTAAACTGCTACCAATTATATTCTTGGTTCTTTCGGTGAGAATTTTATTGCGATAATTGTATTGTTTTATATTTTTATTATTTTATTGTTTCCCTTCTACGTGACTTTACCGAAAGAACCAAGAATATGAATCCCTGCAGTCACGAAAGCTTTAAATACAAAATGCTACCAATTATATGACAGTATTAATGTTGATGGCTGTATTGAGTTTGCTCAATCATAAAACATACTGCTGCTATTGCACATTATGAATTCTTCCAACGTGATAGCACCGCACGTCCGAGGAATCTCACGAAACTGACAATTGCGCCACGATCCATGGAGATGACAACCCAGGCTTCCCATCACACTGCACTGGCGTCACATCCACAGCCATCGGCCATGACATTCTGCCTGTGGTGTAGTGCAGCCACATGTTTGCCGGCACATCTCTGAACAGAAGAGTCTGCTGCTGATGCCGACCCATCGTACTCACATGGACAGAGCTCTGTGGTGATGGGGGACCGGTTAGGAGTCGCCCAGACTCGCTGAGCGTCACTGCTGTGGTCTCGCCCACAAGAGGAGTAGTGGAGGAGTCTGGAGCACGGAGTCACTGCTGATGTCTGAGTTTGTTTTACTGCTTTTGCTTTCTGTAGTTTCAGCAAACCCATCCAGCGTCATGAGTGAAGGAGAGACTGTCACATTGACGTGTCACATCTCAAACAGTGCCTATGTACAAAGTATTGTTTGGACTCACGGTGGCACTGAGATGAACCCACGCAATTCTGTGCTGACATTACACAAAGTCAAAAGATGTCAAGAGGGAGCATGGACATGTGGTGTCAAAAACCAAACTGACCAAGCCTCTGCTTCTCACCATTTGACAGTCTCATCACAGAGTAAGTGAATTCAGAAATGAAGCCCTCGGTGAATTTAATTTCACACCGTGATTTTTTAAAATGTATGCTTAGTTTGTATTACCAATGCAATCAGTATATTATAAATGTGTTGAATATGACGTATGTGATGCATCCCTTGTGGAGTTGTAATAAATTAAAGTATTAAAATTGTCAAATATTTTTTGTTATATCAATGTTTGAAGTGTAATAATTTATCTCTTTTGTTATATTTTTGTAGATGTTTGTGATGTAAAGGCACCTGCTCCCAGAAAGTATTTTGTTTCTGTGGGCCAGTCGGTCATTTTGCAATGTGTTGAAGATGATCCAGAATTTAAATGGAAAGATCACCCTTCCTCTGACCTGGCTCTGACCTGGCGATGGGAGAGGCAGGGTAGTGGTAGCGAAACGATTGTCCAGTATCCTAAGCAAACTGGTCAACGGTATGGAGATGTATGGAAAAATACCGCTATACCACTGGTTTCCAGAATAATGGCATTGAAGTCTTATTTTGACAAAGACAACTTCTCTATTCAAATCTCAAAAGTGCAATACAGTGATGCTGGGCTCTACATTTGCCACTTTACTGGCTACTTTAGAACAAGCAGCTTAACAAGAGAACTGATCACAATGCAAGGTAAATTATATTTTACTTTTTGCACAAGCATATGCACTTCAATATAAAAGTGGAATACATTTAATTATTTATTGTGTAAGATTATTTTTTATTAATAGTCTGTGAAGGTAAACTGCTACCAATCATATTAAAGTATTCATGTTGATGGCTGTAATGAGTTTGCTCAATCATAAAACATACTGCTGCTATTGCACATTATGAATTCTTCCAACGTGATAGCACCGCACGTCCGAGGAATCTCACGAGACTGACGATTGCCCCACGATCCATGGAAATGGCAACCCAGGCTTCCCATCACACTGCATTGGCGTCACATCCACAGCCATCGCCCATGACATTCTGCCTGTGGTGTACTGCAGCCACATGTTTGCCGACACATCTCTGAACAGGAGAGTCTGCTGCTGATGCCGACCCATCGTACTCACATGGACAGAGCTCGGTGGTGATGGGGGACCGGTTAGGAGTCGCCCAGACTCGCTGAGTGTCTCTGCTGTGGTCTCGCCCACAAGAGGAGTAGTGGAGTAGTCTGGAGCACGGAGTCACTGCTGATGTCTGAGTTTGTTTTACTGCTTTTGCTTTCTGTAGTTTCAGCAAACCCATCCAGCGTCGTGAGTGAAGGAGAGACTGTCACATTGACGTGTCACATCTCAAACAGTGCCTATGTACAAAGTATTGTTTGGACTCATGGTGGCACTGAGATGAACCCACGCCATTCTGTGCTGACATTACACAAAATCAAACGATGTCAAGAGGGAGCATGGACATGTGGTGTCAAACCCCAAACTGACCAAGCCTCTGCTTCTCACGATTTGACAGTCTCATCACAGAGTAAGTGAATTCAGAAATGAAGCCCTCGGTGAATTTAATTTCACACCGTGATTTTTTAAAATGTATGCTTAGTTTGTATTACCAATGCAATCAGTATATTATAAATGTGTTGAATATGACGTATGTGATGCATCCCTTGTGGAGTTGTAATAAATTAAAGTATTAAAATTGTCAAATATTTTTTGTTATATCAATGTTTGAAGTGTAATAATTTATCTCTTTTGTTATATTTTTGTAGATGTTTGTGATGTAAAGGCACCTGCTCCCAGAAAGTATTTTGTTTCTGTGGGCCAGTCGGTCATTTTGCAATGTGTTGAAGATGATCCAGAATTTAAATGGAAAGATCACCCTTCCTCTGACCTGGCTCTGACCTGGCGATGGGAGAGGCAGGGTAGTGGTAGCGAAACGATTGTCCAGTATCCTAAGCAAACTGGTCAACGGTATGGAGATGTATGGAAAAATACCGCTATACCACTGGTTTCCAGAATAACGACATTGAAGTCTAATTTTGACAAAGACAACTTCTCTATTCAAATCTCAAAAGTGCAACACAGTGATGCTGGGCTCTACATTTGCCACTTTGCTGGCTACTTTAGAACAAGCAGCTTAACAAGAGAACTGATCACAATGCAAGGTAAATCATATTTTACTTTTTTGCACAAGCATATGCACTTCAATATAAAAGAGGAATACATTTAATGATTTATTGCGTAAGATTTTTTAAATTAATAGTCCGTGAATGTAAACTGCTACCAATTATATTCTTGGTTCTTTCGGTGAGAATTTTATTGCGATAATTGTATTGTTTTATATTTTTATTATTTTATTGTTTCCCTTCTACGTGACTTTACCGAAAGAACCAAGAATATGAATCCCTGCAGTCACGAAAGCTTTAAATACAAAATGCTACCAATTATATGACAGTATTAATGTTGATGGCTGTATTGAGTTTGCTCAATCATAAAACATACTGCTGCTATTGCACATTATGAATTCTTCCAACGTGATAGCACCGCACGTCCGAGGAATCTCACGAAACTGACAATTGCGCCACGATCCATGGAGATGACAACCCAGGCTTCCCATCACACTGCACTGGCGTCACATCCACAGCCATCGGCCATGACATTCTGCCTGTGGTGTAGTGCAGCCACATGTTTGCCGGCACATCTCTGAACAGAAGAGTCTGCTGCTGATGCCGACCCATCGTACTCACATGGACAGAGCTCTGTGGTGATGGGGGACCGGTTAGGAGTCGCCCAGACTCGCTGAGCGTCACTGCTGTGGTCTCGCCCACAAGAGGAGTAGTGGAGGAGTCTGGAGCACGGAGTCACTGCTGATGTCTGAGTTTGTTTTACTGCTTTTGCTTTCTGTAGTTTCAGCAAACCCATCCAGCGTCATGAGTGAAGGAGAGACTGTCACATTGACGTGTCACATCTCAAACAGTGCCTATGTACAAAGTATTGTTTGGACTCACGGTGGCACTGAGATGAACCCACGCAATTCTGTGCTGACATTACACAAAGTCAAAAGATGTCAAGAGGGAGCATGGACATGTGGTGTCAAAAACCAAACTGACCAAGCCTCTGCTTCTCACCATTTGACAGTCTCATCACAGAGTAAGTGAATTCAGAAATGAAGCCCTCGGTGAATTTAATTTCACACCGTGATTTTTTAAAATGTATGCTTAGTTTGTATTACCAATGCAATCAGTATATTATAAATGTGTTGAATATGACGTATGTGATGCATCCCTTGTGGAGTTGTAATAAATTAAAGTATTAAAATTGTCAAATATTTTTTGTTATATCAATGTTTGAAGTGTAATAATTTATCTCTTTTGTTATATTTTTGTAGATGTTTGTGATGTAAAGGCACCTGCTCCCAGAAAGTATTTTGTTTCTGTGGGCCAGTCGGTCATTTTGCAATGTGTTGAAGATGATCCAGAATTTAAATGGAAAGATCACCCTTCCTCTGACCTGGCTCTGACCTGGCGATGGGAGAGGCAGGGTAGTGGTAGCGAAACGATTGTCCAGTATCCTAAGCAAACTGGTCAACGGTATGGAGATGTATGGAAAAATACCGCTATACCACTGGTTTCCAGAATAATGGCATTGAAGTCTTATTTTGACAAAGACAACTTCTCTATTCAAATCTCAAAAGTGCAATACAGTGATGCTGGGCTCTACATTTGCCACTTTACTGGCTACTTTAGAACAAGCAGCTTAACAAGAGAACTGATCACAATGCAAGGTAAATTATATTTTACTTTTTGCACAAGCATATGCACTTCAATATAAAAGTGGAATACATTTAATTATTTATTGTGTAAGATTATTTTTTATTAATAGTCTGTGAAGGTAAACTGCTACCAATCATATTAAAGTATTCATGTTGATGGCTGTAATGAGTTTGCTCAATCATAAAACATACTGCTGCTATTGCACATTATGAATTCTTCCAACGTGATAGCACCGCACGTCCGAGGAATCTCACGAGACTGACGATTGTCCCACGATCCATGGAAATGGCAACCCAGGCTTCCCATCACACTGCATTGGCGTCACATCCACAGCCATCGCCCATGACATTCTGCCTGTGGTGTACTGCAGCCACATGTTTGCCGACACATCTCTGAACAGGAGAGTCTGCTGCTGATGCCGACCCATCGTACTCACATGGACAGAGCTCGGTGGTGATGGGGGACCGGTTAGGAGTCGCCCAGACTCGCTGAGTGTCTCTGCTGTGGTCTCGCCCACAAGAGGAGTAGTGGAGTAGTCTGGAGCACGGAGTCACTGCTGATGTCTGAGTTTGTTTTACTGCTTTTGCTTTCTGTAGTTTCAGCAAACCCATCCAGCGTCGTGAGTGAAGGAGAGACTGTCACATTGACGTGTCACATCTCAAACAGTGCCTATGTACAAAGTATTGTTTGGACTCATGGTGGCACTGAGATGAACCCACGCCATTCTGTGCTGACATTACACAAAATCAAACGATGTCAAGAGGGAGCATGGACATGTGGTGTCAAACCCCAAACTGACCAAGCCTCTGCTTCTCACGATTTGACAGTCTCATCACAGAGTAAGTGAATTCAGAAATGAAGCCCTCGGTGAATTTAATTTCACACCGTGATTTTTTAAAATGTATGCTTAGTTTGTATTACCAATGCAATCAGTATATTATAAATGTGTTGAATATGACGTATGTGATGCATCCCTTGTGGAGTTGTAATAAATTAAAGTATTAAAATTGTCAAATATTTTTTGTTATATCAATGTTTGAAGTGTAATAATTTATCTCTTTTGTTATATTTTTGTAGATGTTTGTGATGTAAAGGCACCTGCTCCCAGAAAGTATTTTGTTTCTGTGGGCCAGTCGGTCATTTTGCAATGTGTTGAAGATGATCCAGAATTTAAATGGAAAGATCACCCTTCCTCTGACCTGGCTCTGACCTGGCGATGGGAGAGGCAGGGTAGTGGTAGCGAAACGATTGTCCAGTATCCTAAGCAAACTGGTCAACGGTATGGAGATGTATGGAAAAATACCGCTATACCACTGGTTTCCAGAATAACGGCATTGAAGTCTTATTTTGACAAAGACAACTTCTCTATTCAAATCTCAAAAGTGCAATACAGTGATGCTGGGCTCTACATTTGCCACTTTACTGGCTACTTTAGAACAAGCAGCTTAACAAGAGAACTGATCACAATGCAAGGTAAATTATATTTTACTTTTTTGCACAAGCATATGCACTTCAATATAAAAGTGGAATACATTTAATTATTTATTGTGTAAGATTATTTTTTATTAATAGTCTGTGAAGGTAAACTGCTACCAATCATATTAAAGTATTCATGTTGATGGCTGTAATGAGTTTGCTCAATCATAAAACATACTGCTGCTATTGCACATTATGAATTCTTCCAACGTGATAGCACCGCACGTCCGAGGAATCTCACGAGACTGACGATTGCCCCACGATCCATGGAAATGGCACCCCAGGCTTCCCATCACACTGCATTGGCGTCACATCCACAGCCATCGCCCATGACATTCTGCCTGTGGTGTACTGCAGCCACATGTTTGCCGACACATCTCTGAACAGGAGAGTCTGCTGCTGATGCCGACCCATCGTACTCACATGGACAGAGCTCTGTGGTGATGGGGGACCGGTTAGGAGTCGCCCAGACTCGCTGAGTGTCTCTGCTGTGGTCTCGCCCACAAGAGGAGTAGTGGAGTAGTCTGGAGCACGGAGTCACTGCTGATGTCTGAGTTTGTTTTACTGCTTTTGCTTTCTTTAGTTTCAGCAAACCCATCCCGCTCTGTGACAGAAGGGGAGACTGTCACATTGACCTGTCTCATATCAAACAGTGGCTATAGAACAGGTCTGGTTTGGTATCATGGTCAAATTTACATTTCACAAGGCAATCAGCTGACACTGAACAAAGTAAAACGATCTCAACAGGGAGAATGGAAATGTTTTCTATATCACCAGCACCACAGTCGCTTTGCCTCGTACACACTGGAGTTAACATCAACTGGTAAGTCTCCTGTTAAATGTATTTAAATGTAATGTGATTACCTGACGTGTCGAGTTATTACATTGAATTTTAATCTGTCAAATGTAACCGTTACATATTTTCATGCAGTAAATGTTTTGATAATTACTGTGCATTGGTTAATTTACTGCTGTTTCTTTTATAGGAAGTCATGTTGAGAAGGCACCCGCAGTGCAGAAATATTTCATACACGAGGGTGGGGAGGTCTCTTTGTCATGTGATGAATCTGATCCTGGATTTCAGTGGAAAGATCATTCACAGCGGACACGCGCTGTCACTTGGAAATGGAGATCGCATGATGGCACAACAAAGCGATATGATCAGAACATACAATATCCATCGCAACCGTCTGATTATAAAGATCAGTTTCCTTTAGCATTGTCGAAAGTTACGTTTTCACGTGGTGGGGTTTACACATGTGAGTTTACTGGCTACTATAGGACAGGCACCCTCACAATGGAACTGGTCACAATGAAAGGTACGGTAATATTGAGTCATATAAACTAAATATATTCATAAAAATTGTTACTAATTTCTGTTACAAAAATGTATTAACACGTTTCAGCATGCTATGAAAATGAAATGTCGGACGATATTGTTCATGATTGTGACGTAAATGCCGTAGTGAGTTTATGTTCACGTGAACGATTGTTACTGCTGCTGCACATACAAGCTGTCATTGCTGTAGCATTCAATATTGGATGCGCATCATCTGATTCTCATTGCCCATCATGCCATCGCCCTTGCAGATGAGAGCCTAAGTGTTCCGTCATGTAAACGGTCGTGTCACAACCACATTCACGGGAATATTCCCGTGTTTTTTACTTGCGGAACTGATATATTTTACAGTTATTGCTTTCCCTAATAAAAGATAAATCATACAATAGATAATGTATAGTGTACTTACCTATATTTACGAGTAGCGCTGCTGCTGTTAGCCATTCAGACTCCTGCTGTGAGTTCACGTTCACAATCAGGTTTTAGGTCGAGGGATTTGGGATTAGGCAATTCCTGGGCCAGTGCTTCTCGTGATCAGTGGACACGTGGTCTCCTCTTCACCCCTTCACCATCCCCACCCTGGAGTCTCTGTGCTCTGCTGCTGTAATCACGATTAGAGGAGCAGTGCAGGAGGGATTCCATGATCTCAACTGCGCTGGGAGGCCTCCAGGCTCATATCTCCTGGAATCTCAGCACAGATGTGGATTCCACGTGACCAGGGATAGGCCATACCTCAAAATTCAGAATGTGTTGTGCTATAGTTCGGACTGCTGAGTCAATGAGCCGTAAATATGTATTCTTGTTTCGTGTTCTTTAGTTTCATCCAACACATCCAACACCGTGGCAGAAGGAGAGAGTATCAGTCTGACCTGCCAGCTCTCTAACGACTCCTATGCACACATGGTCAGATGGATTCACAATGGGATTGAGATCAGCCATCAAAGCAGCCTCGTTTTGGTGAAAGTGAAGGCTGCTCAGAGTGGGTTGTGGAAGTGTTCCCTGAAAAGGGAGAGTGGAGAGATCTCAGAGGTAGCGTACAATTTGAACGTGCAGAAAATTGGTAAGTACACATCTCACCAAACTTCAGTTCCATCATAAAAACACTGCAATCACATACTGAAAATAAATACTCTGATCAAGTGTGTTACGTTTCATCCTATATATATAAACTGCAGTTATTGCAATCGTTCTAAATTGAAAATGAAATTAATACACATGAAAGAAGACTCTTGCCCTTATCTTTATCCACAAGGTAAGGTATTTATTTCACGACACGGGTCCATACCTTCCATCTCGCTCTCTCTCCTACAATGCCCCGAACTCCGACTCCAACTCCCTCTTTTAACCTCTTCCTGGTTCCGCACCTCGTCGCACTCTGTCTCCACCAATCATCACCTCTCTTACCCCCACCTGGCCTAACCATCCCACCTGACGCTCACCCAACCCTCCAGTTCTTTTCCCTTTTGAACGTTCCGGACAATCCCCTTGCTCCCCTGTGCCCTTATCAATCAGAGCGTGGAGTGTTTATTCTAGACTTCTAGATTCCTCCGTCCCAGGGATCGTGTGGGACAATCACTACACACATCGGACATACAGTTAAATTGACTAAAGTAATTTGTAAACTTAACACAATTTCCATGCTTATACCTTCAGGTGCAAGGTGTGTAGCTGTATTGTGGCATCCTGTGTGTTTGGTAATGAAACCATTGTTTTAACACGATCTGCAGGTGCAGAGCAAAACGCACCTAGGAATTACGCGGCTACAATTGGTGAAGGAACCACGTTGCCCTGCACCGAGTCTGACCCTGGGTTTGTGTGGAGGAGCTCCTCCAATGAGTCTCGTTCGGTCACCTGGTACTGGAGGCCACGTGGTGACAGCACAGTCCGTACGATACTCGAGGCCCACCCAGCCGGACCTCACGCTGCATTCAGTTCCCACCTCAACTCCCACGTGACCATCTCGTCCTCCGCTTTTGACAACGACGACTTCTCTCTGACCATCTCAGTGGTGAATGAAAGTTCTGCTGGTGTCTACACTTGTCAGCTAACAGGATATTATCGGTCAGGGAGTCTGATGTCGGAAATGTTTACAACACAAGGTACAATACTTTCCTTTTTTAACCTAAAACACAATACTTGGCATTATGTTGTACGTTCTAAATTATGTCTTCCAATGTTTAAAAGATAATCTCTTGCTTTCAATGTTAACTTGCAGATCAGGAAAGTGAATTTAAACCTACAGCTCTTGTGATGTCATACTACGCAGCTGTGAAACACATTTGAGTAAATGTCACCACACTACTTTATTTTTTTTCTCAACAAACCTGTATTTGTTTACTTAAACCCTTTTCTCATCTCTTCGGTTATTGCAGTAAATATATATTTTGTATTTCGCACCAGTGTCAAGGGCATCTCCGTACGTGTCGGTTGCTATTGGAGTGGTGCTGGCTGTGCTGCTGTCTGCTGGAGCTGCTGTTGTTGTGGTGTGCTACAGAAGAAGGAAGCTCAATGCAGGTCATTGGCACCACCCAACTCTCTAAAACCAAATAGCATTCCTTACACTGAACCCCATTTTCCCAACACACCTTGTGTAGCTCTTTCTCTGGTATAACCACCACTTTATACAGTAAACCGTAGTTAATGGAGTAAAATCATGATTACCCACGTGAAATTTCTCAGGTGAGCATTTTTGCAGCTCAACCTGGGAGACTGCACTTATATTACAAGCTGTTGCACAATGTTCCAACTTAAATTATGGCTATATTAAAATTAAATAATTCGTTTGAGTAAATTGTGCACAATACATCATGTGTATTAGTAATTCATCACGTACTCTTTGTTTTTTTTCAGTAAAGTCACGTAGGTAAAAATCAATAAAATACATGAAAACAACTAAATTAAATCCCGACGTTTCGGCGGCCAACACAAGCCTCCGTCCTCAGGTGGAAACAGTCACAGCAAAATTGCTGTATACCTACGTGACTTTACCGAAAAAAAACAGTATGAATCCTTGCAGTCACGAAAGCTTCAAATCTAGAATTTATCACGTGTTTACTTCCATGCCATTCATGGAATGTTTGCTATTTTTATTAGCACATTCACTTACTGCACAAGGTTAAAATTTCAGAAACCCATGCAGGTTAAAGGTATTAGCATAGCTTGGCATTATTTGATATACCCACGGTGCATTACTAGCCTCACCTCTGCTCAAGCCTGTATATTGTGAATGCCCGACAGTCTGATCCCATCAGGAATTTTAACATCTTAAACATCTGTTACAGGTCCACAACACGGCCAAGGAAACTCCGTTAATCTTCAAGAAATGGCTGCAGGGGGTAAGGCAACGTGATGGTGTGGGGTTCTCGTGACCCTCTGTTTTGGCTGTCCAGGTGTCCCATAGCATTTACAGATATCGAGATTTTGTCCCAGTTTGATATTTTATGGGGTCGTACTTCGCTCATGACACGGACAATGGGCAGGGCAACCTCAGTGGTGGGCGGGGTTTCAGCAAAGTGGGCAGGGCTTATGATCAGTAGGCAGGGCCAATGTAAGAACAAGCTATGAGGACACTCACGGAGCGGGGGCTGATGGAGGGAGGGGCGGTCAGCTCACAATTTACACCCATTTGGACGATTTTCCTAGAAATGTGTTGGCTTTGCAGTACGCATCCCATCTGTGGTGCTTGCGAAGAGTTGGAATGTCCTGCACCAGGATGGGAGAAATATAGCCATTGCAAATAACAATGCTCAATGTGAAATGTTGCATGTGTGCTGCAACAAGGAAGCTTGCCACAATTCATACTGAAAGGAGAAACGGAATAGTTACACACGTTATATTATACATGATATGCAGTCATTTTGGAAAGTGATGACAAGGTCCTCACAGCTGTGGTGGAGAGAAGGAAATGTAAAAAGGATGGAAAGATAAGAGGGCCCACAATTTGCATAGCTATTTCTGTCACTTTCTGGTAGACTAACATCTGGTTCTTGCAGAAACAGCCACATTTCTCAGCAAAAATATCCAATTTTTGCCGCAACTCATTTGGCAATTGCAAATTGGCTCAGAGCTGGCGTGGTTAGCTTGGGCTTATGACGGAGGCTAGTTCTTGGCAACGTCCAGATATTTTCCGCTATCCTATGCAGGGAGCAGTGAGAGGGAGGGGCAGCCCATTTAACCTTCCATCACGGCTACTCAGAATACAATTTTTGATAACTCTTGATACAATGGGATTTTTAGTCGTCATTATTTTTACATCTGAAGCATTTGTTACTAAATATTTATGAATGGGTAACCGTCTCGATTTAAAGCTTTCGTGACTGCAATGATTAATCTTCTTTGGTTCTTTCGGTAAAGTCACGTAGAATGAGAATAAAATAATAAATTGATAAAATAAAATAACACAATAATATTCTCACGACGTTTCGGCCACAACACAAGCGGCCTTCATCAGGTGAAGGGGGTGCCTCTGCAGATGTGTATGCTTTAACTTAGCTATTTCAATGCTAAATTCTATGCTAATTCCTTTGTCAAGGGGTGCCTCTGCGGATGTGTATGCTTTAACTTTTAACATAGCCATTTCTGTGACCAGTCACAAGCTAATCACTCAGCCATTTCAATGCTAAATTATATGCTAATTCCTTTGTCAAGGCGCTTTGTTTCCTCTCACACAGCTTAAAGGTCGTGATCTGAACGTGGCTTTTTCACTCCAGCGCTGTCCTACCAGACAGTCTCGTCCCTTCACCTGATGAAGGCCGCTTGTGTTGTGGCCGAAACGTCGTGAGAATATTATTGTGTTATTTTATTTTATCAATTTATTATTTTATTCTCATTCTACGTGACTTTACCGAAAGAACCAAAGAAGAGGGTAACCGTCTCTATACCAATTTAAGACTTCTGTTCATCTAGAAAAAAATAAAGAAATTACATTCTCAAAGGGCCCCATGATGATTTATATTTAAATCTCCAACTATTATTCACTGCTATGAAGGAGCAACATCTGCAGAAATGTCGCCTATTATATATACACATACACTACGCACATATATTTTCCCCCTCTTTTGGGCAGTGTTATGAGATTAATTCCGTTTGAATATAAATGTTTGGGCTTGTGTACCACAGACAATGCAGTACTTTTTTTTAAATTCACGTGAAAGTCTCGTTCTCGTCACCCTCCATTCCACAACAATGTTTTTCACCTGTATGTGGAAGTCTGCTAACGAGTAAAACCAGACTGTACAGGAATTAGGCACAGAGAGTAAGCAAAAGAGGAAACTACATTATGGGACCATTTTTGCCAGTATTAAAGTATGAAAAAACAAGAATAGGTTTACCCTTTATGGCAATAAAAAAGGTATGGTTTTCACACCTGGTGATGATTGATTGTGTTGCAATCGAGACGTCGTGAGAATGTAACAGTTTAATTTTATTATTTAATTATTTCCCTTCTATGTGACTTTACCGAAAGAACCAAGAATATGAATCCCTGCAGTCACGAAAGCTTTAAATCGAAAAATAAAAAAGCTGTTAAGATGTTCAAAGACCAAATAAGATACCTTCTGCAAGGAATAAAGTCTGCATTAACCACACACACTTATGGTGAACATGCAAACAGACATGCTCTGATGTGTTATTGTCAGAAAGGGTGAAACATGTTCTTATTTTTTCATACTAAAGAGGAAACAGGTCACCAGAGTACTGTCATCATAAAGTTGTTGAAATACAAATGCACCCTTAACACACACACAGACGTAGAGAAGTCTAAGCAAATTGTGTATTTGTCATTCTTTAAAAATTGCTTTTAACATTTGCAATGAATTAAACTTTTGTAAAATAGTAAATATGATTAAACATGATGAATTCCACTTCGGTTAAACCAAATTAGCAAAATCTGTTAAAACTGCAAATGGATCCTTGACTTAAATCAGATTTTAACCTCATCATTTAATTTTGTTTAACATCATCGGCTATTTGTACTTAACAGAGAGAACCACGGATGAAAACAGACAGGTAATTATGCAACATGTGAAACAACTTTCCCTGTTTATTCTTCAATGTAAAATGTCTTGCCTGCTGTGGATGATTTGGGAGTCCAACTTGGTGTAATAACAATTATGGCCCTTTTTAAAATCCACTGCTGGATGAATGCCTCCCTACACCTTATTGGCTATGGGGGTTATTTGACCACGCTTCATCACGCTGATCAGTGCGGGTTGTTGAAGACGGAAGCCAGAACTGGCTCAGATATCACTCACCACTGTTGTTATGTGTGGCTCGCGATCAATCTTGATTCGCCAGGTTTATAATAATAATTAGAATTTATAAAGTGCCCCTTACCAATCCTTCTCAAGGTACGTTGTTATAGCACAACATGTGAACGGCTGCACCACCACTCCACCCAACACGGTATTGCTGTTATTTGAATACCCGACTGAATATTGAACGATAAATTCAACAATATGTTGGTCATGTTTCACTAAATACTGCCTTTGGCATACATTGTTAACGCGAATGAAAATTCACATGAATGCATTCATACATTTAAAGTACTGTACATGTGACGTTGATAAATAGGAATAATTATGCAGTTGTGGGTGGAAGTTCCATAGGCAGCCCCGATTAGCACAGTTGGCTATCTACGGTGCGAAAGGCGTTCAACATACATACAAACATACAATAGATAGTGCCCATATCAAGTTTCTAAAGAGGCCCATGACACCATATGGCGTGCTCCTCAATTAACAAGTCGGGGGAAACCCCACCCACCTCCACCTGCTCGCTGTTCTCATGCCCACAATTATAGTGGCACCGAATTATCTGATCTATCCAATCCCTAAAGTAATCGAGTGCTCTACTGATCGATAAGCCTTCTCGTCAACTCGTTCCTCTCTGGCCCTTATCTCGCACGCACCGGGTTCTTTCGTTATTATCCCGTGTCCCTTTGAACCACGACACCTAGGCGACATTGTGAAAGTGCACATTTATATTATTAGCAGTACTAGAGGTTTGACTGCTCGAAAAAAGGTTTGACCTCTGTTGCCACATGTTCCGCTTGATAGAAAGTGACGGAGCTTGGCTTTGTGACGTCAACTGCATCGTCAGACACCTCGTCACAATAAACGCGGCTCGTAGAGGATTTGGGAGACTCGATGTGGGGCGCAGCAACCTTTTTTTTTAAAGGCGCCAGAATAATCGACCACCAAAAAAGTTTTTGTTCATGTTTTGGTCGATTAATCCACTGAAAGTTGTCTCAGCGCTCCACTGAATGGCTTCACCATGAATGCTCAGTCCTCTTGTTCTCTGCGTGTTCACCAGGCCTATGAGGAGGAGGCGCTCGTATACAGCCAGATAGAGGCTTTACCGGAAAGCAGTGGGTCGCAACCTCAACATAACCAAAATGTCGGAGTCATTTACGCATCTGTAAACGCAGAGGTGATGGCGCATTGTGATTCAAACAATAACAGTAAAACACATGCGCAAGTGTTTTAGCTCTCCAGTGCGTGTTTGGGTTGTACTGGGTGTTGTTCGGCATGATGTCCGATGTTTCGCACCGCGTGCTGGGAGCTTCTTCAGCAAGAATTTCCCGGCGCGTGGAGCGAAACGTCAGACATCGTGCCAAATAACACCGTGGCACAACACAAAAACGCATCGGAGAGGCACGAAGCACAATTGCAAAGAGCTTACACGGTAATGCCATGCAAAGTTTTATAATCATAGCAGCTTTAGTCATCTTAATGACTCCAAACATAGGCCCTTGTGTGAAAGTATCATGATAAAACGTCTGCTACTACAGTGCTTTATGCTATCTTGTGATGGGTTTACCATTAAGGAAAATATTTAGTAAAATAACGATACATGACGCTCTGATTTGTAGTTCTGCATTACTTTTTCTTTGCCTGACAACTCTGGCATGAGATGAGATTTTTATTTTATTTGAACTACTGGGTCTGAGTCATTTAAGCAAAGTCACCATTTATATTTTTCATTCATGGTCAAAACCTATTTAACTCTTTGTGTGAATATATATGCAGTACTCTCTCTATAATTTTTTGAGTATGACACCACAACCCTTTTATTTGGCGAGTGTAGGCTGGTAGTGGTGCTAGCTCATTGGGGTCACGAAGCTTTTACTTTTCTTATGCCAGTGATGGGGAACCTACCGATTGTGGGCCTTATCCAGCCCACAACTTAATTTCAAACGATCCGTGTCCGCAGAGGGCCCCACAAACGATGTAACCCTTACTGCGAGCATATAAGCTGCCTCTAATCGGGTACTAGGGGGTCGAATAGTATTGTCCTGGCAACACTGTGTTTTCTAACTTTAACTTTTCTCGCTTTAACGTGCTAAGTTACATCTGTCGCTACAAGGGCCTCTTTTCCACTCGGTCAGCGAGCACGTCATTTTTCGCATTAGTATTGGATAAAAACACCAAGTTGTTAATGTGTGTTCTGACAACGGCATTGCAAGTACTATTCTTGCCCTCCGTAAGGAAAACGTTCCCCACCCCAAGCTGGTGTAAGCAGTGAGGATTCTGACCCTGACGCCTGCTGTATATTTGGAGTTTGCACGTTCTCCCCCTGGTCGCGTGGATTTTTTTCTCCGGGTTCTCCGGTTTTTCCCACGATGTTTAGAAACATGCGTTTCGACTACTTACATAATTTGGCTGCTATTAATGTCCAAATGATAAGCCACTTTGTTGAGCTATCATTTGTGGCCAGGTCGCTTTTGAAAAACAAGTTAATACCTCAGTGGACTTTGTCTGGTAGGATGGAGATGGTTTCGTTGTATTTGTATGTGTTTGGGTGAATTATTTACCTTTCTTGTACATTGCACTACTATCATGTTTTTGTATTGTTTGTTGTTGTAACATTCTTACCCCGACTGGACATCTGTGAAAAAGAGCTTCATAGCTCATCGGATTCCTCCTCCAGTATAAATATTCGGATTATTTTTCCTTGTGACAATGCAAGGCTATCTGGCTTTGTAACGTTGTAGTCCCCATATAGTTGACAAGTGCTCAGTGATCCTTGTGTATTCTTTTAAGGATCAGCACACCAATGAGGTTGCTTACAGCGTGGTGCAAGCCTCAGCAGCTGATAAAATGAAGCCCAAAGTCAAGCCGAAGGGAAACGGTGGAAGTCCAAATGCAGTCGTTAACAGACCGGTAATACCCACACATGAAATAACAGAGTATCAAACATATACTGTATATCTCGGCCTTTAAAAGGGTCTCCAAACTAAATAGGAGATTTTCAAACACACGATATTTTACTCAGATTTGTTGATGTTAACGTAAGGGGGGTACCCTCTTACGCCAGTGGTGCAGAACCTACAGATTGTGGGAATCCTTGTGTATTATTTTCAGGAACATGACAACAATGAGGTTGTTTACAGCGTGGTGCAAGTTGCAGCAGCTGGTAACATGAAGCCAAAGCCTAAACCGAAGAGAGACGGTGGTGATCCCAATGCAGTCGCTAACAGATCGGTAATACCCACACATGCAATTACAGAGTATCAAACATATACTGTATATCTCGGCCTTTAAAATGGTCTCTAAACTAAATATGAGATTTTCAAGTACGCGATATTTTACTCAGATTTGTTTGTTGACGTTAACGTAAGGGGGGTATCCTCTTACGCCAGTGCCATCTACAGATTGTGGTAATCCTTGTGTATTATTTTCAGGAACATGACAACAATGAGGTTGTTTACAGCGTGGTGCAAGCTCCAGCAGCTGGAAACATAAAGCCAAAGCTTAAACCTAAACCAAAGAGAGACGGTGGTGATCCCAATGCAGTCGTTGACAGATCGGTAATACCCACACGTACAACTACACAGTAACAAATACATACATCTTGGCCCTCAAAAGGTCTCTTCAAGTCCATGACATTTAGTTGCATTCGGTCGGTTGTGTTTGTTGATATTAAAGTAGAGCCATCCTCTTATGCCAGTGGTGGGGAACCTACAAATTGTGGGAAGTATCCGGCCCCAATGCCATGCCATGCCCTACGACCCTGGTCACATGAGGCGCATAATTGAAAAAGGCCCACAAATTATATATATATGTACATCATTGCAAGCATATTAGCCACAATAATTGGGCGCTAGCAGGAAATATGAATGTCCTAGCAACACCGTTTCTGGTTTTAACGCACTCAGTCACATATATGACTTCAGGGCCTCTATAAAACTTAATTGGAAGACATTTTTTCCTCTTATTACTGGATTACGACAAGATATGTATGTGGTCCCACAAAGGTATTTAAAGCCATATTCCACCTTCCTTAAGGAAAATATTCGCTTCCTCTGGCTTATGCCTAGTGCCACCGCTGGTGTAAGCCATGAGGATCTCTGCAGTGTTTCTTCTGAGAGTACATGGCTACCTGACTTTGTAACATTCGCAAAGATGACAAGTGCTTAATAATCCTCGTGTGTTATTTTTAAGGAACATGACAAGAATGAGGCCGTTAACAGCATGGTGCAAGCTCCAGCGGCTGGAAACATGAATCCGAATGCAGTCGTTAACAGACCGGTAATAGCCACACATACGACATAGCAACAAATATATATGCATTCGGACCTTTAAAAGGTCTCCAAACAAAACCTGCAATTTAAAAGCATGCGAAATTTGGATAGTTCTTTTCAGAAAATAAATGTCATTGTAAGACCTCTGTATTGGCATCAATGTAGAGATATCCTCCATTTACTGTAAGAGGTGAGGTTGCAATTTGTGAATCATAGTATTTTTGGCCACGTATTTAATTAAAAGTGTAAGCTGTGTGTCTTTTTGCTCTTTGTACCAGCAGCCAGAAGAGAACCAAGTTGTGTACAGCCTTCTTTCAACTCCCAACGCAAGCAAGCCAGCGCTAAAGCCCAAACCAAACAAGGCAGTTGATGCCCTCTATACTGTGGTTGCAAAAAAAAAATAGAAATGTTTTCAAAAACCCAGCAAAAACTGTGGGATTTTGAGAAACTGCTTATTTGTCCTCAATGGCGTTGTACCGTTATGTTTTTGATCCTAACCCAAACCATTTGTTACATTTACGAAGCGTTTTTTCCTAACGAATTACTTTTATGTTAATCGGTTTATGTTTCTTTCTTTTGTAGAATAACATTGCTTGAATTTCTAATTTTAAGTTTTAATTTAGATTTGTACTGTAGTTTATCTATGCATTGTGGTCAGCCCACATATTGTTTCCCAAGTTCTGTTTTTCACGGTTTAAACGTGTTACTATATTTTGTAAATATCAGCTTCCTTTTTTGGAATTTTTTTTGTAAATACTGTGTGTGTGGGAGGCTGTCCTATACCAGTTTAAAGTTTTATTCAAATACTTAAAAATTTGCAGCTCTGAACGTGGTAGTGAAATTACGACAGCATTAATCCAGTATTTTCTAATGTCATTGCAGTGATGTCACTCGAGCGCTCGTTCATTTATCTATTTTTTTTATCTTCAACAAAGCCTTAAACGTGTATAAGACGGCCCAGGTCAAAGAGTCTTGAGAATAATTAAAACATAATATCTGTTTTTTTATATATAAGAAGTATAACTGAAAAAAGAATGCTCATAAAAAAATGTCGTTTCACTCTTAACTCTGAATCCAAGATATTTCACCTAACATGGTTATCCATGAGTATTTTAATTCTAAAAGTTTAATGAAAGTGCCTTTTCTTTGCAAATAAAAAAAGCTTTTATAGAAATATTTTTGAAAAGTTGTGCTTTTTAAGATTGTGTTTTCAATGGTGGTTTTCATTATTTAACTTGCACCTCCACCCATAAGGCATTAAGTCAAAAGTTGAATATTGCTTGGTGTTGAAGAGCAGGTGTCCTTAAGGGTAAATCTACCAAATTCCTCGGATACTCTTATCAGTGATCTGTCAGCCCCCACCTCCCTATTTCTGCAACTTACAGGCCCTGCCTACTCCACTGGCCAACCACACTCACCACATACTCGGGGTAGCCTTGCTGCTCGGGTAGCAAGGTAATTTAAACGGGGATAAAAAGCTAAAATGTTCCAAAAACTTTAGGCTGTTGAGGTAGCCGTTCTCAAACCGTGACTCTTCTCGCAAATCCGTGAATTTTTTAAAACTTTATATTAACTTGAAATCTCAAAAAACAGATATTTAATAATTCAATCCTTATTTGATAAAATACTGTATCTTCTTTGGTTCTTTCGGTAAAGTCACGTAGAATGAGAATAAAATAATAAATTGATAACATAAAATAACACAATAATATTCTCACGACGTTTCGGCCACAACACAAGCGGCCTTCATCAGGTGAAGGGACGGGACTGTCTGGTAGGACAGCGCTGGAGTGAAAGAGCCACGTTCAGATCACGGCCTTTAAGCTGTGTGAGAGGAACAAAGCGCCTTGACAAAGGAATTAGCATATAATTTAGCATTGAAATGGCTGAATGATTAGCTTGTGACTGGTCACAGAAATAGCTATGTTAAAAGTTAAAGCATACACATCCGCAGAGGCACCCCTTGATAAAGGAATTAGCATAGAATTTAGCATTGAAATAGCTAAGTTAAGGCATACACATCCGCAGAGGCACCCCTTGGCAATGGAATTAGCATAGAATTTATCATTGAAATAGCTGAGTGATTAGCTTGTAACTGCTCACAGAAATAGCTACGTTAAAGTCAGAGCATACACATTCACCGAGGCACTTAGTACAAATCAAACAGGAGAATTTAGCATTGAAATAACTAGGCGAATTTAGCATTGAAATAACTGAGTGATTAGCTAGTGACTGGTCATAGAAATGACTATGTTGAAGTCAAGGCCTACACATCTGAGCTATTCACAGTAATATATAGTGAACCAATAAAAAACTAAAATATAAATTACCTTAATGTTATCAATAAACTCTATATTCTCCAATCAGCTAAGCTACCAACAATAAGTCGTTATATATCACAATGCTATATGGCAAAAAAATGGGTGGATTCTTACCCTCAACTTTAGCACCACGGATAGCTACGGGCCCCGTTCAGACGGACGAGTTCGTCCATGGTCGGAACAGAGGAGGGGGAGAGAGACAGCTGCGAGGCGCTATTATACTCCATGTTGTAAAACCATACCATTAACCGTGGTGTGAGAGGTATTAAGAGGCAATGCTGGCGAAAGAGCTGCGGTCTGAAGGTCATCGTAAAAATACAATTAATTAAGAACAGAAATGGTTTAAAACATCTTTCCAGTGGTTACTAAGCCAGAATCCATCTTCTCGGTTGAAATTGTCTCTGTGCTTGTATATGTGAATGGCCTCATCATTGCAGTCACGAAAGCTTTAAATCGAAAAATACTGTATATAAAAACATTCCTCAGTTTATTTTTCCATCTCTGCGTCCTTGAAACCACCTTGTAAAGGATGTTGCAGTTTCAGAAGAAATTCAAAAGCCCAATGATATTTGACAATTTACAACATTGGCCCAAAAAAAATCGATTTGCCCTTTGCTGATGTGGTTTTGTGTGCGTGTGGAAAAATAACAGGAAATACAAACTGTGCAGTGATATTGCGAAATATGCACTTGGGGGTGTTTTATTTAAATTTCTAAACAAGAAGTAAAATATAAAAACAAGAATTAGGAGGATTAACTTTGCCGATTGGAATCCCAATGTCATTGTCTAAATTTACTTAACATGTGCGATGGGAATACACTCACTACAGTATATGCATTGTTTAACAGTTTCCATTACTTATAAATGATTGGATAAAATCCATAATGCGTAGCTTATTTTAGCAATTGAAAGGCTTAGAGGATTCTATTTGAATTAGAGCTGTGTATTATAATAATTATATGACGAATCATTTTTAAACCTCCTTCCGAAAGAACGTGCAAAAATATACAGGAAGTGAATAGGGTTTTAAAATAAAAAATAACCCTATGCAGTAAGTGACTAAATCTATCCAATCACACGATTGCACGTGCTGTGAAGCTGCCTGTATGACCAAATCACTCGGAAATCCGTCTCATCTGGTCAGATATCGGAAGCAAAGCGGGGCTGAGCCTGTGTAGTGCTTGGATGGGGCAACGTGGATAGTCGACAACAGATGCTGTAGCCTGCTGCGGGGCTGCTCGTCAGAAGAGGGAAGTGAAGCCAAGTCCATTGCACTTGACCGTGCTGTGCCGTCACCTTCAGCAACCCTCGTTGGCCACTGCAGTGAAGTATGGTCAAGTAACCATCAGGACTCGCAAGGCCTGTGGATGCCTCCATGTGGCAGTGGATTGACAAGGGCTGTACGGTGTAAGAACAACGTGCAAATCATCACGTCGTGATGGGCGTGGCTGTTAAACGTTATTAGAATTAAAGGTATTAACGGTACAGCCCTGCAATTCCTCGCTCACGCCACCGTCAGCGGAAGGGTCTCCACAGAGGCTTGGTGTGTATTTGGCCTACTCTTCCACGCCAACCAGACGTAATGGAAAAGGAGGACGTACCCACACTTTTACCCCTTTCACTGTGGTGAACCCATTCATACTGTACTGTTGGGTGGACCAGGTCGGGGCGGGTGCCTTCGTGATCTGCAGGGTGCCGCGGTGGCTAGGGAGGCGTTAACTACCTCGCTTGGTATACAGGAGGTCGTGGGTTCGATCCCGACCACCGACGCCTGCTGTATATATTTGGAATTTGCGTGCCTCTCTCGCTCCCCGTGGTCGCGTGGATTTCTTTCTCAGGATCCTGCGGGTTTTCCCCTCCACATTTCGGAGTAACATGCGGTCAGAGTGTTTTGGTTGCTCCACATTTCCACACGCGTAGCCACTTTGTTGATTCGTCATTTGTGGGCAGGTCGCTTCTAAAAAAAAATGTATCTGTATCGTTCAGTGGGCCTTCAACTGGTAAAATGAAATATAGTTTTATTTTTGCGGCACCAGCAGAGCTATTTCGGATCCATCGATGCGTACTTAGGTGAAGGCCACGTCGTAGTTTCAGGCCAAAATTATTGTCATCAACCCTCCACCACCCAACAGAGCCTGTCACGTTTGCAAAGACGAGAAGATGCCGAGACCCCTCTATTCGCCCTCGACCCCGAGGTAATGCGGGAAGGGCCCTACTAGGAAGGGGCCCTAGTGGCTTTAACTCGAACCTACAAAGAAGCCTCTCACGTAAGGTCACAACAGCCTTCATGGGTTAGAATGAGTAAAATCTAAAATTACTCTTAAGACATTAATAGACAATAGCATCAAATAATACATCCGTTTCATTTCAAGGACAACGTTTGAGATATTCTTAATGCTATAACAATGTTTGAAAAGTCCCTGAGTGCTGTACACATCCATAGGGCAGGAGTGCGAAGTGTCCAATACAGGGACATGATATTTTTGTTTACCGAAATTGACACGATGCAAGGTATTTTTTTTTTTAGAAATCAGTGTTTAAAATAACATTTGTTTTGTTTTACCTTGTCTGCTTCTTCCTTCCTCTGCTTAAGTGACTTCGACCTTGTGAGGAAAAATAAAATTTCACTTTCTACCACGTTGCACGGTAAATGTGCCAAGAGTCTTGCTGGGCGATGGGTCGTAAGTTAAGCTTCTGTGCTGTAATTCTATCACATTGGTGGCCTTATGTGGACGGTCGTAAAAACGCGCAGCGCAAATCTGACTGTCGTAAACGGGTTGTAATGTTTAGCAAACTTCAACATTATTAGTGACATTAAAAAAAATGCATACATTGAATACGTAATTGAAAAGTAATGTTCCACGGATGTTATGCGCTAAAAATGGCTTTAAAAAGCTATCCAATATAGTATTTTTTTGTGAGATGATGATACTGTTTATACTTACCAATGTATTGATCAAATTGTGACCAATAAACACTCCAGCTCAGCCGGGCGGCTCAAGACTTCTCGTGACTGAATGGAAGAGCAATGCGCCATGATGATACTTCACTCAAACGGGTTTTTTTAGTTTCATCAGCAGGCAGTGAGCTCGGTTTTGAGCTTCATCACAGGCAGTGAGCTCGGTTTTGAGCTTCATCACAGGCAGTGAGCTCGGTTTTGAGCTTCTTTAGCAGGCAGTGAGCTCGGTTTTGAGCTTCATCACAGGCAGTGAGCTCGGTTTTGAGCTTCTTTAGCAGGCAGTGAGCTCGGTTTTGAGCTTCATCACAGGCAGTGAGCTCGGTTTTGAGCTTCTTTAGCAGGCAGTGAGTTCGGTTTTGAGCTTCATCACAGGCAGTGAGCTCGGTTTTGAGCTTCATTAGCAGGTAGTGAGCTCGGTTTTGAGCTTCATTAGCAGGTAGTGAGCTCGGTTTTGAGCTTCTTTAGCAGGCAGTGAGTTCGGTTTTGAGCTTCATCACAGGCAGTGAGTTCGGTTTTGAGCTTCATTAGCAGGCAATGAGTTCGAAATCGTGCGAGGCCGCTGCCTGCATCTCACTCTGCTCGTCATTATCCATCGTGACACCACCAATGCGTTGGCGCCATTTACCCATTTCCTTTGTAATTTTGAGTGTGGCTGCTTTTAACGTGCTTATTACATCAAACAATTTGAATGCTAAAATAAAGACTCTATGTTAGCTATTACAAGGCATCGAGTCTGCATACACCACACATACTTGTGGTAAAACATTTTAAAAAATGTGTTTGCATGCCTTGGCCTGTTACCTTAATGTCCTTGTTTAAATGAACAATTTATTAAGAGTTGTTTCTCCCATTGCTATGGAAAACGCAGCCGATGTGAAATTAAAGTTGTTCCTT